TTCAAATCAGTTTGCATAGCACCTTACCCCTCCCCCAGCTCCTGGGTAATAGCTAAGTACCTCATGCCTTGAAAGGGTTAGCTATTGGGCTGGTTTCTGGCCTGGGTAGTACCCATATGGTGTGTTTTGCACTGCTTGTGTGCCACATAGCGGGGTCGGAAAAAATCGCTCCTAACTAGAGCATTCCGTAAACACGGCAGTCCCGTTCCGCCTCTAAACAATGGCATTCATCACCGATTGCCAGTGCTCCCCGGAGCAGCCAAGACCCCAGAGCGGACACCGAGCACCTCTCTCACCGACAGCGGCGCCGTTGGAGACCCAGTTGTTGGTAAGGATGTCGGGGGCACCGAACTCCGGGCGCAGCAGATCCTGATCCTTGACTTCACTCGCCGAGGCCTTTCCTGCGACGAAGCAGCGCCAAGGTCACGACCACACACGCTCACCGGCGGCGGATCATCACCAACCTCGGCGGCGGAGCATCACCAACACCGGCGGATCATCACCAACCTCGGCGGCGGATCATCACCAACACCGGTGGCGGACCATCACCAACACCGGTGGCGGACCATCACCAACACCGGTGGCGGATCATCACCAGCACCGGTGGCGGATCATCACCAACACCGGTGGCGGATCATCACCAGCACCGGTGGCGGATCATCGCCAACACCGGTGGCGGATCATCACCAACACCGGTGGCGGACCATCACCAACACCGGCGAATCATCACCAACACTGGCGGCTGATCATCACCAACATCGGCGGCCAATCATAGCCCCGAGAGCCACACAACCGACCGGGCACGTCACGGCCGGGCCCGGCCCGGCGGTGGACACCCGCCGGGGAGGTAGCCCACCGGCCGGCGGCACCGGGGCATGGCCCCACGCCCTCCGGCGTGGGGCCGTGCCCCGGGGAGCGAGCCGGCCGGTGCGGATCCCACCTTGCGGTGTCGCCGCGCCGGCCATCCCGCGCCGTCGGCGTCGGGCCTAGACTGACCGCTCAGTCCGACACTATTCCGAGATCAGCGTCGTATCGAGCGGCGGCTGGCGCATCCGGACGCGATCGCCTAGGTTACGGCCATCAGCTGCCGCGCCATCACGATCACCGCCCCATCTGACCGCGCATGCAGTCTCAGGAGCGAGGCGGGCGGCGCTGCAACGGCGCCGCGTCACCGAACACCACGGGCGTGGCGTTACCCGAAGCCACGGGCGCGGCGTCACCGGAGGCCACGGGCGCGGCGTCGCCGCAGCCCCAGACAGCCAGAGACTGGCCAGCTAGACACTTACGTGCGCCGCGAGCAGCCCGCACATGGTGACTTAACTATGCCAGGTACAGATTTTGTGGTGACAAAAGATAGCAATCACATGTATCCAATAATGGAACAGTGACATCTCAGATAACAAATATGGAAATGATGCAATAATAGCATTTCTGCCAGCTGTAAGTCTATATTTATGCATTCTGTGAGTCAAAAATTCAGTTGTTTCTAATGCTCAACTAAGATAATACTGTATTACTTTTGAACACAACCAACAGCATGACTGCAGTAGACATATGAAATGTTATCTCCAGGCCACAACACTGTTTCTTTCCATATTTAATAAAGAATGCACCATACACCATACATTTTTGACATTTACCCAGGCTGCCATGCACACAGTGGATGGGAAATTGATCTACATTACTATTGTACAAATGTCTGTGCAATCACCTTGAGGAGGATTGTGCATTTATTTTGCATATATCACATTTAATATCATGGTGATCAACTGCCTATTGACTCCATTTGTTCACGCCATACTTTTGCCACCCTCAAGTTTTTCCAGCTTCTGCCAACTATGCCAACAACAGTTTAAGGCCCTATAAAAACCAGACAACATCAGCTAACAAACTATATCAGACCAGTGCTGCCAGCCATGATGGGGCAAAACATACCGTATGATCAGGATTTAATGTACAAGCCATAAACAACACCAGTGACTAGTTCTATGCAATTAGCAGACCATCAAATGCTGATAATCATTACACCATTCATGACAATGTGAATGGTTCAGAATCTGCAACTCTGAATGTCACTAGCTCAGTGATGCGTTGTCTTAAGAAATATTGAGGGCTGACCAATGATCATGTCAATGATAAAATAACCATCCCCTGCCCTGACAATGCTTACGACCAAAATAACAAACCCCAAACCCTGGTTGGCAAAAACTCATGAAATTTATAGGTCTTATTACAAAAGTGCCTGAATTGCCATCAGCATCTGAAACTTGGGTGTTTCTTGGTGTTTTTGGCCTCAAGACATTTTGCTCTCCACAAATATACACTGGAAAGAATGTAAAAAATTGTTCTCTGGGAGCGACGTCGGATGGAGGCAAGCTGTTCCTGCAACTTTGACAGCATCGCACGCCACACTCACGACTGAGCAAGGATACTGCCTGCGGGTTACAACCGAATTTCTCTACCATATCAAACATATTCTTTCCTTGCAATGCATTCAGTGCCCATGTCTGTTGCTGCTCACCAGCACATGTTTAACTCACCTACCATCCAACGACACCAACGAGCCCACAAACCGGGCTCAATCCCGCACCCAAAACAACAGCGTCTCTCGGACGTACCAGGGAGATGCGCGGAGAATATCTCGCACACAGCACGATTCAACATTTCTGAATTGCACGGTAGAAATCATCGCATCACAAGAAAAACCGATATGAAAGTATATGATGTAAACATTACATGGACCTCTAAATATAAGGCAAATTTATCATATATTGATAAATAAGTTATTATTCATTCTTTTTAAATCGTGTTTTTATTGAAATTTCATTGGAAACTATCAAAAATGGATATTGTATGGAACGTGTAATGGTGACGTTAAACATCTCCCAAACACTCGCTAGGGCACGTGGAAAACCAAGGCTCCGCGAGTCTCCGGCTCTTAGGGAGGATTTACCGTTGGAGAGAAGGCACATTCTCCACCAAGAAATCCCAGCTGAATGCGCGATGAACATGCATAAAGGGTCATCAAACAAAAGTAAGGATTTTTTCTATCGATCCACAGAGCATCCTCACAGAATCATGATCTCAGTATAAAGCTAAAGAGGGGTTCCTTGTTCTCTGTCAAGCAGAACTTCTACTGGTGTGTTTATATGATCATTCAAATTTTTTAGATTTACCTTTTGTTTTAGCTGGGTTTTGCCAATCAATATTTTTTTTACAAAATCAATACAGTCCCAAAAACAATATCAAAACCAATAAATAGCCTACAGTGGCTCTGTCATTGGAGACTCCTATTGCTGCACGCCATTCATGCAGCCTACCGACCTTGTTTTGGAGGAGCCGCGCAAGGAGCGGTACCCCACAGCTGGTTTGTGGTGTAGACAAGGGCAATATATAAATTTAGTTCATTGTCATACACTGAGAAAAGCATTGTGTCAGACTCAACCCCAGTAAATAGATGCAGTGATGCCAACCTTATGCGACTGGATTGCTCTGTGAGGATGAAACCATTCCTCTGCCCCTGCTGTGTTGGCATCCAAGCCCCGACCAAGCAGCAGCCTGACATCTCAGGTGGGGTAGTTTTGTACATATTTTGGTAGAGCAGGTGAGCAGAGAAATCTTTCATCCCTCTGAAATGGAGCAAACCATGTTTTCCCTGATTTTGACCAAGTTTTTTTTCTAAAAGTTGGGGAGGGGTTGGCATCCTATCCAACTAAATAGGAAACTACATGCTTGTTCCCAAATTAAGTACATCTAGGTCAGTAAAAGCCTAGGTGGATATCACATTGCCCCCAAATCTTTCCTCTAGGTGAGAAAGATTGTACCTGGACTAGAATGTAGCTGCACTAACTACAATGCTGCAGATGCTCCTATTTATGCTGTGGCTTGCACAACATTTCAATAACATACTTAACATTATGTGGTCCAGAGAATAGTGCAACAGGTGCACAACATTTTAAGCATCTGCTTCTATCAGCCTTTACTGGGACTGACACCTTTACAGTATAATTATCAATATCAACAACTTTCTAGCCGCTCCATAGCTTAAAAATTTCAGTAGGTGCAAGCATAGACTTAGGAAGGAAGTGCTTGCCTAGGAAGCTAGAAAGTTTAGTAATTGCAAGCAGTCAATTTATAATGGTCTTTGGCAATTACTGAGACCAGCTTGAGCATGGTGTTTACTGTCATCTGCTGCCAAGGAATGTCTTTTAGTGCCAGCTGTGAATGTATTGCAAATTCACTTGGGTTATTTTGTTCTCACTACAAGCTCTGGCTTTGATATTTTTGTTCTCTCCCCCAAGAGCCTAAACCACATTTCAGATACTTATTGACATAACATCATGATGCCCACTTGCCCCACCATGCACAAATCATTGCTTCAGACATTCTGCTCCACAATTAGTAGAGAAAATTCCAAGCCAATCTACTTTCAACATAATTGTAAATTTTAAATGGCAATTCACTACCCTACATTCAATGGTGAGGAGTAAGAGACAAATTCCAGCTCTCAAATTTCAATATGAGCCTTAGTGGTCACATTGATATTGCTACCATCTAAAAACTCTGAATGATGAGAAGGTGAGCTGAATTTGCATGACGACATTGACATAGCAATGATCCAAGCAATCTGGACTACAGTCAATCACCGGCCCTTCCACTAATATCAACTACCTTATTCAGCATCGGCTACGCAGGACCTTCGCCAGTTTCAATAGCGTGGAAATGTATTGCGGTGTCAGTCCGGCTAGCCAGAGGATGCACCGATCAGAACAAAAGCGATGAAGTGAGGACCACCTCGAAACTGTGCCACTCAGCCTAAATTATAAATAATATACATCCTACGCGACCCCGGTTTACACAAACTCACCAGAAGCCGGAACAGGCCCTGGAGAACACCACCGCAGAACGTCTTCGATCGTCCAGGAGTAAACAACGGGGAAAACCCGCACATAGACGTAAAGGACGCTTTTGTTACTTTTAGCTGCCAACTTCGCTTAGCTGGCCGCATAAAGCAAAAATTTTAAGTATCTCGACAATCTGGGTTACTGTATTTTAATACTGAGCCTATTTATGCATATCAAAAATAAAACTGATAGAAATTTAAGAACTCAGAATAAAAATCTTGGAAAAATTGAAGTAACCAATATCTATTGTTTTCTCAACAGTTATATTGTGCGCGACTCATCGAATATTTTAGGCATCCTGCATAATTTTCAGGAATATGGCCGCGAGTTTCGATGACCAGTCCTGCAACTCGTTTCGTTTGAGCTGCGAGTGTGCGTTGTTTTAAGGTATTGGCTGGGTATCGCCCACGGCCCCGCTGGGCCCCACGGTTCAATCGTTGGCTTGCTTTTGTGTGGGGAAAGTATGTGGTGTTGTCGAGGGCTGGTGGGTGTAATTGGGGCATGATAACATTGCTGTAGCTTGCAAGAAGGTGCAAGAGGTCATGTTGGATGACCGGACACCGGCACTGGAACCTAGGCTTGACGCTTTCTTTCTAATAAATTTATTCTGTATGGCTGAAACTTTGTAAGCTGTAAGTTGCTCTGTTGGAAGCTAAAAAAAAACCCAGGCTAGGACTTTTGTCCGCCATAACTCGTTCAGCATGCAGGTTGTCAACGATTGAAACATCCTTCTGCTCCTGGTTGTATAATAGTCTCAATTGAATAGTTCAGGTCTAGGCTTGATGTGCAATGGGCTGACCACATTTATGACATTCCACACTGAATCTATCTGTAACTTGATACTGGTTGCCCAACTGGGAGCATGATGAGACCAGGACCAACAGGCCTAGTGGCCTTTCATAGATCCCAATCACCATAAGGTAAGGTAGGGTTGGCATGGTTGGCTAGGCCATAGGTCCAACATACCTGCCAAGCATAGCTTGTTGCCTGTGCCCTGAACCCACCAGTCAGATTGTGCTGTCCAGATCAACAGATCAGATTGCCTCCGCTCCTTTGCCAGGCTTGGATGCAGAAAGTTATGCATGCTGCACAGTGTGTCTGCATGACTGCCCAGGGTATGGGCAGTCATGCCCTTTGACTGCCCTTGTTGACCAATGGCATGTGTTAGAAAAATGAATGCAAGGAAACTTGCACACATCAGAAAGCTGAGTGTTATTGAATTGTAAACCAAAGGAATGTCACAGTACACAGTGATGTTTTGACCAGTCATCCACATCTTTGTCAATCCATACTTGGTGTTTTCAGGTGTCGAAATGGCTTCATCGGATGCTGCCCTTGGGCTGCGCAGCCCCAAAGCATGGATTCTCCTTGTGTTCTGGTACATTTTCAGTGCCTTCACACTTTTTACAAACAAATATGTTGTGTCATACATGCAGGTGGACTCAATGCTTCTAGGTAAGTTTAGTAAGGAACAGTGGAGCAGTCAGATTTTCTTAAAGGGGCTCCAGAGCCCAGTGAAAGCATTTAATTCATTTTTAATTTTCTTTCAGGAACCATCTGTAGAAAATTGGAAAAATGTGGGTCTAAGAGTAGGGCCTGCCTCCTCCTCTCTGACAGTGCTTGCCATAAAGAATAAACATATACTGCAAACAGGGCCACTTAAGCTCTGTGTATTTTCAACAGTATGTTCTGCTTTACACATGGCAGGTGTATTTAGTTAATTATTTGAATCTGTATAAAAATGTGACATGTGTGTGCATCTGCTGTGTGCACTTTGATCACAAAAATACTATCCTCATCAGAGGCAGTAGATCTTTTGAGGACTTGGAAAGCAACATAAGTTTTACTTCAGTCTACTTCATGCAAAATCATGTGAGTTATCATGTGAAATATTCCCAAGATGGAGTCCCCCACTCTGGCAATATATAATGTCCCTGGTTTCCCCAAGCCCTGGCTGATCAGTGCAGGATGTTGTCTGTTGCAGGTAGCTGCCAGGTGATGATGACCGTGATTTGCGGCTGCATCCAGCTGCAGCTGCCATGTGGGCCACAGAGCAAGCCGCAGACGCCGCCGCCGGCATACTACGCCAGCATGCTGCTCATCGGTTGCCTGACGTGAGTAGGCCCGCGCACCGGAGCTGTGCCAGGACGCGCCGCTCGCCGTGCGTGACCGCTGGACGCCGGCGCTGTGCCCGAACATGCCGCCTGCTATGCGTGGCTGCTGGACGGGTACGCTGGCGTGGTATGGCTGGTAGGGACTGGACAGGCCGGATGGATCTCGGGACTGCCGTCGGGAGGCGCCGTTGCGCAATGCTCCGGAACAGATGCGTGTGTTAGAGAACTTAACCCACTGGATGAAGTGGTGGGCGTTGATGAAAGAGGGGCAACAGGCTGGGGTGGTCACGGATTTCGGGAAAATTACGGGTATGGGCACGGGTGTGGGTGAGACATTTACCAAATGTCGTGTGCATGCTGCGATAAATGCTATGCAATATTACTGTGGGCGTATTTAACAGTAGTTAGTCATCTTTACTCATTAGTCAGAGTCAGATCCAGTGCGCCGTTTTTGTAGTTAGCATTGGAACAAAGTGAGCTTTGGTTCAAACTTTCCTGGAGCTCTTTCATAACACGACAATGAATTCAAGTGCCGTTCATTCAAAAGGGGTGGGTACAACTGATGAGAAATGGATGGCAATTGGGTACGCACATAGGCACGTGGGCAGTGAATGGATTAGGTGGAGGAAGTCTTACCCGTGACATCCTCGAACACGCGTCGGCAGATAATCGGGTGACTGCCGTTACCGTCCAGTCCGCTGACCGCAGGTCGGGTGTTATCCTGTTTGGCCTGGCGGCGCTCAAGTTCGTCGCCGTCAGTTTTGCAGAAACGGTAAAAAGTTCTGCGCCCATCTTCACCGTCGTGATCTCGTGGTTGGTGTTAGGTGAGTGGACGCCTCAGTAACGTCTGGCGCTGGCATCTGCTGTATGTTCCTGCTAAATTCTGATGTGATGCCTTTGCTGCTTTTCCTCATTACCAGTGTAGCATATCTGGTGTAGTTTATAGTAACATCTTCATGTTATAATTCAAAGCACTGGCATCTGTGCAGGTGATTACTGTGTCATTAGACAAGTGCATCACCTCCCTTGGCATTTCAGCTGGTATTTGACAGTTATGTCATATGTATTCCTCTCTGCCAGTGGCAAATTGCACAGTCATTTTGTGTGTACTGATGCCTCTGACGTTGATCACGGTTCTGCTCCTCGCGCCGGACGCTGTCAGAAGCGCGCCTCGCTGATGGCTCCCGCACATCGCCCAAGCTCTATGTCAACACTGTGATGACCTGGAGAACACTGCACTATTATGTATTCATACGCAATCTAATAAACTTTGGGTTTTACTGATGGACACTTTAGCGAAGGTTTTATGCGTCTTTACGTTATGCATAATTGAAACGCTAATAGATCGCTAGAATTTTATAAATTGGTGTAACATAATTTTGTTCCATAAGAATAACTAATAATGCTGCAATAATAGTGCCAGATAATTTTTGCCAACATCACTTTGGCCCAAATTTGGTTCAAACCAAACACACTCGTCAAATCGCCACGATCTTCCACAACGAGGTCACTGACCAGTTTGCTGCGGCGGCAGGCGAGCGGACGCCGCTGCTGGTTAACTTGTCACTGATCCCGGTGATGGCCGGCCTGGCACTCTGCTCCTCCCACGAGCTCAGCTTCAACCTGATCGGCTTCGTCGCCGCCATGGGCACCAACCTATGCGAGTGGTGAGCGAGTGGCGGCGGGTGGGGGCGCGGGGCCGCGCGCGCGCGCCAGAGGCCGCCTTGTCGTCAGCTGCCTCCCGCAGAGCAACTCGTCGCTTAACGTTCAACGACGACTGTCTCTTAATTTAATGTGTTCGTATTTGGACGTGGATTTGTATGGGCGCCATATGACCTCGGTAGTCGGCGTGCTCCAAAGCCGAAGTCCTCATCAGGACGCGGATATGTGGTAATGCGTCTTTACCTTTTCAGCTTGCAGAGTGTATTTGTGAAGAAAATCCTCAATAACAAGGACTACAAGTACAGGTAAGTGCTTCTGGTCTGCTCTGAAACCCTGTATTGATGTTTTCTAAACCTAACTTATGACCTTGCAATACCGCTTACTTCTGTGACATTCAGCCCGCGCCATTGCTATCTCGAGAATGCGGTGTGGTGCCGTGTTTTGTTTTGTTCCATTCCGGACTAGCTCAAACACCATACCATTCACATATGCGGATGTACTGCGAAGTGCAGTAATCAGAACCGTTCTGTCCCCAGTGCCGCAGAGCTGCAGTTTTATCCGGGAGTAGCAGGCGCCCTCATCCAGACGCCCATTTTGCATTTGCTTGCCAGGCCAGATGCCATCTCTGGGGTGACCACTGAAACTGCGGTTACGCTGGCGGCTGCAGGATTTTTCTATTACTGCCAGACGGCCACAGCTTACATGCTTATGGAATACATTAGTCCAGTGACGTACAGGTGAGTTGGGGGCTTCATATTGTCTATCAGCGTGGGGCTCCTCCTCGATTTATTGAAAGCTGCAGGAATCCCATCGTGTTACGGCTCACGTCGCACCATCGAGGCGCTGGAAATGCGGATAATCGGAGATCTCAATCATTTAAGCTTAAGCCACGCGGGCCAGCTTTGATTGGATTTAGTCAAGCATTGAGTATCGAGTCAGGCATTGAGCGGGCCTGGCGCGAGTCGCGTAGGGTTCTCGGGCAACACACCATGTTCAGGTGTTCCGCGATATGCCGTATCCGTTTCTCCGGATCTTCGAAGCCCGCCTGGCCGGTGTCAGACTACGCGCTGCCTGACTCGCGAGCCCTTATTTCCTTCAGCCTGTGTGCTTCCCTCCATATCAGGTTCAAGCAGCATGCTTGAAACCGAGAACGTTTGTGTTCCTCCACGACGTCGATGACTTCCTCCGTGACGTCGATGACCCGGCCATCTAGCCGGGTCTATGTTATGTAGCCGTCCACCAGTTATATGTCGCTATGGCGCCTCCTGGACATGGCGAGCGAGTGAAACGTACTGATGGACGAACATTGTGTTCTCCGCCTTTGTAACGCTTCGTTTATGGATGGTACTCCAAAGACACTGGTTGTGCGTGCTGGTCATAGTCGCGGCCGAACCCCGTCCATCTGTCTTAGTCGTGTCCAGCGCCCCACTTCTGGTTGCGTCTTACCGCCAACGCGTCCAAGCTACCGCTCATTGTCACGATCAACATGATCAGCCAGCCTTCTCCTGTCTCCGGCTGTGCTGTCCGGCCCGACACGCGCCCCGCCCGCCGCAGCTGCGTCTGACCTCCCCCGCCCCCCGTCGTCGGTTCCACAGCGTTGCCAACACGTGTAAGCGGGCGCTGCTCATCTGGCTGAGTGTGCTCCTCTTCCACAACGCGGTCACCCTGCTCAGCGGCCTCGGCACAGCAGTCGTCATCTTCGGCGTGTTCCTCTACAACGCGGCCACGCGGCGCAAGTTCTCGCCGGTGGTGCGTGCCGCCGACCGGACCGCCATGTGACCGCCACGTGGCCATCCGCGGCCGTCGGAGGTGGCGGGCGGCTAGTGATATGGGGAGGGCGAGGGAGGCGCACACTGCACCAGTGTGACAGGCTGGTGATGTGGTGCTGGCCCCATGGGACGGGTTGGTGGCGTGTGTGTTAGTGATGCCACTTGGAAGGGAAGGGGGAGGGTGCGGTGCGGTTGTGTGAAGCAGCGACATAATTGCAGCACGAGCTATGGTGGTCCAGATTCCATGGTCACTAGGGCTCAGTGTGACGTGGTACGGGAAAACAAAATCACCGGGACCGTAGCGATCCCGATGGTGGCCTCGTTCGCGGTATGCCATAATCACAGTACGGTGATGTGTGACAGTGTTGGGGCGTCCGCTCGCGATCACGCGCGCGGTGCGCCTAGTTTTACGCCTCCGTATTGTTTCGGACTTCAGACGTTGATTTTGATGCACAGCATAATCCTCATGGAAATTGTTTTTTTTCTGAAATGAACTTATGGTAGTGTACAGGGCGTTCACAGCCATCTTCTTTGGCAGAATGCAGACTGTTTGGGTGGTTACCGTGTTATACTGTTCTTGAATTCCACCGGTAAGTCATATTAAACGTATGCTATCGCTCACCGTCTTGGTAAAGCTGCTTGGATTATAATGAGACTCGTTGGTCGCGAAAACCTCTATTTTGCTCATTCCTCAGGGCTTATATGCGCCTGTTGGACACAGGGTTGTGATGTGGATGTGGCTGTATCGAGTTTTGCACTGGGATAGTTCTTACATACGGGCCTGCTCCCGTCGCTCCTCTTAACTTCCCAAAAATCGCCAAAATTTCTCCAAACTAATCGCATTGTGTCCGCGGCTCCTCCACCTCCTCCAAATCCCCCCCCCCCCAGGCTTGCCCCGAACCTCAGGTGTTGTTTTCAGAGATGTTTGGAGGAGGCTGTGGTAAATATTAGTGGCACAGTTCATTCATGTGCATTTTGGCCCCATTTGTTGTCACTAAACGGAAGCAGAGAACTGAAGTGTAAATTAGCGCAGATAAATTACGTACGGATTCATTTTCATAGCGTTGTATTCATATAACTATTATTGTTGAATATATTTTCGATTTTGAATATTATTTTTCAGAAGTCAGCGTCTTACGTTATTTGCTCTCAGTGCGCCAAAACCATTTGGCTGAGCTGTGCGCAAGCAGCCGCGACCTCCTCCGAAATCGCTCCCGTGGCGGAAGATTTCGGTGCCCCTCCAGCCTCCCTCAAACTCATTTCATCTTTTTTGGAGGAGCCACGGAAACAGACCCATAGACTGTTATTTTGTTCGCATGCAGAAATTCAGTCGTCATATGAATCAAAAATAGCTGGCAGCTCTTGCTGATAGATTGCTGGGGATGGTTGTGGATGGAAAGGGCTCGTGTTGTTTTATTGTCGGTACATTCGCACTCACTGTATGCTAACACTTTATATTTTGCCCTGGAACATTTGGCTGTGTCATGTAACATCGGTTTGCGGTCACCATTGTTGTGTAAAGATATTTTGGTATTGCACCACAAAACCCATCGTCTAAATACATGATGCATGTGTCTTGAGTAGCGCTATTTGAAGATGCCTGCAGCCGACGGAGATACACGTGTGGCCTCGGGGGGGGGGGGGGGGGGGGGGGCAGCTTTCATATTTTGCTGCAATTTTCAATGCATTGTATAGCTGGGCGGCTTGCAAAGGTTACCTATCCAAAGGCCTTATCCATTTCAGAGAACACCATCCGCTGAGTAGACAAGCCAAGCTGGTAGTATGCATTGTAGGCTGGGTGTTCGTCGTGGTCTCAGAACGGGTAATTTGTCATTTCGTTGTCCTGCCGCCAGTCGCTGCGAACTAGCTCGCACATGACCACCACACCGGCTATCAAACAGTGACAGGATAGGACGCGTCTTCACGGCACATAGTTGCTATTGTGACCGCGACATGTAGCACGGCCATCACGACTTTCAAACGGCGGGTGGACGTCTCGTAACTTCCGCCTGAGCAGTAGACGCCAAGACCGCGGAGGGCTGTTTACTTCTGTTGGTGGTGTTACTGTGCTGGCCGTAAGTCGCAGGCAAAGTTTTGGAATTCTCCATTTCTTTCCGTTGTTTGAATGTGTTGTTGCCCGAAATAGTCACACTGATCATCATGGCCGTAATTCAACACTCAGACCGACATTGTTCGGAACGCAGAAGCTTTTGGACATTTGGAAAATTATCCATCAGTGACATGTCGGGCTTCAGCGGTACAATGTGTAAGTAATTATGCCTACTGGCACAACCACTACCGGGGTCGGTGGGGTAGCATCGTGACAAAAATAGGCTCAAAAAGCACTAGAGTAACATGCGTGCGCTCTTCGCCAATGTTTCTATTCGTGTTTTTCCAATGCGTCCAACAACCTGGATGGGAGTCGATGCATGTTCTGTTCTCCGTTATTACGGACCAGCATGTAAAAATGTGTTTTTTTTTTGTTACAATAAGCTTAAGGGACGGTCTGGAATAGCGTGGATGATCGTCAAACGTACGAAGCAGAAATTTCGTCGCCGTTTCCTGCAAACCGGCCAAATCAGCGGACTGCGTGTACAGATTGGCTACAAAATATGCGCAGTCCGGTGCTATCGGGTGCTGTCTCACCGGTTGCGTCGAAGGGAGAGAGAGTGTAGCGTTCGCGTGCCAAAATTGGTTATTTATCTCAGGTTGTATAATTTGTTTCTCAAAGACCATCATCAGTAATTAAACTTGCAGGAATACGTGTTGCGCACGTATTGCAAGTCTAAGTAACTTCACAATGGCAAAACTAACACAGTTGTTCCACGAGCCCGGCGCCCTTCTGAATGACTTTGTTGTGGACTGGTCCAAGGACAACAAGATTGCCGTTGCGACTCAACACGCTGTCTGTGTATATGTAGGTATATACTGTGTTGCATTTTTTATCTGTGTGTACCATAAAATCCATTATCTCAAAACACGAACCTCAAGCTCCTGAGCTCAGAACTTGGGCCTGGCCAAATTGTGCTGACTGATACCTACATGCTTTTTGTACCCTATAAACAACCTAGTTAACCCAAAATTTGGTATGGTTACTGTGGCGTGAAAAGCCAGCTGATGGATAGAAATAAGGCAAATGAACCTGCAAGGTATGCTTCAATTTTTAGATATGTTCAAAAGCAATAATGTTGGTAGGCCTTTAGGAAGTAGGTGGTAATGCTTATAGGCAAGACTGCACATCATAATCCAGCTTTTCAGGATTGCAGTTTAGGTAATTCACAACTGGTCACTGATTATGTGCATGTTGTGTATGTGCCTGTTGGTGAACTCCATTGCTCTGTGAGGCATCCCAAGCATAGTTAGCATTTCACCCCCAGAATCTTAGCTCCCTTCTCAGATCATACTATTTTAGTAATGTGTGGCCATTATCAAACAATGTATAGTGATTCAAGTGATTTTAATTCTTCCAAAGTAGGAAATGTGTGTCACAATCCATTTATGCATAACATTTTGCCCAGTTTTCATAACTTGTTTCAGTCTTGTATGCTGTGGGTTAATCATGTCATGTTTCCATCCTAGTTTTTAAGGAAATGTGGTGTAAGCCCAATGAGAAAGAAATGGTGATGGTGGCATGCTGTGACCATTGTATTTCAGGAAGTTAAATGCAAACCCCATGAGAAGGAGCTTACTGCTGCTGGAGTTTTTGCCAAGATTTTACCTGAAAAGGAACAAAATCTATGCTTTGGGAAAGGTATTATGACAGACTGCATGTACCAACAATAATTTGAGTCTAATATGATGTGTACAATCTTTCAGTTCTGTAAAATTTCTGAAAGTGTGCAATAATATCCTGAGTGTTTGTCAGTCCTAAACCATACTGTATTTTGTGGGTAGATAGGTAGTAGGAAAACTAGAGTCTGGCTATGCTCAACAGTGCCTCAGTATGTGTTTGTATGACCACAGCAGACCTGTATAAGTCAGAACCATGGTCAGGCAGTTTGCTTCTCTTTGCTGTGACAACAGCAAGGCCTTGTATTGCCTACATAGTAACATCATTTTTGTTTCTGGGACCAGCTTGTATAGCTAAGTAGAAGTTTCCTTTGAAGGTAGATAACAAGAGGTTGCAGTGGATGATGAGGGTATGTGCACCATTGTAGCTCATTATAGCATGCTGTGATGTGACTTGCATTGTCTGTGGCAACTGACATTCAGTCAGCCTTGCCTCAGTATTTAGTAGGCCCTTTTGTGGCACAATGTCAGGTTTGTAAATATTATGAGGTGCTTTGAGCTTAAGCATGCAACCAGGAACAATATTTTGGTCCTGCTGTTTTACTACATGATTCATCAAGGGCACATCATTACTACTGTTGGCAAATGTATCATGGCATTTCTCCTCAGTCCACCAAAATTTGCCCTTTTAATGGTCACTTATTGTCAGTCTACTGTTACTACTAGCTGCTGGCAGCAAGGAACAACAATCACTCTGACGCAGCTCATGATGCCTCTCTGTGTCAGTGACATTCTCTGCTTTTCAGACCTTCCATTCATGGGAATATGCAGAGAGAAGATGCAGCGCATCACAGACATGTTCACAGACACTGGGCTGATGGCAGTTACAACAAACAATGATACCTTCGTCGGGTTTCGTCGGGCTCTCTGGTCGCCGCCAGGAATGGCATCCTTTGACAGGTAGTCAAGCTGCTCAGTCCTTGGACTACCTTCTGCCCCTAAACATCCCAGTACTGGGATGATGTGATGCCAGTTCAATTAACAATTCAAACCAAGAGTTTGAATTGCTTTCTTTTGTCATCATGCGTATTCCTACGCCACTCTAACTCGTGACCAATCGCCAGTCGACCATCAGAGACGAATCACAGCATAGTCTCTGGGATGTGAGCTCACTTGTCTGCCAAACAGTTGAGTAGCAGACATACTCCTAGTTGAGTCATAAAGAGTGCAGTCACGCACGGCTTTGCTCCAGTGACCGTCGCTATTTTGTAAAACTGACTGACTGGCTCTTTAGACACGCAGAATCAAAACGTTTCTGTGTCGGTCGGTGCTTACAGTCCTGACCAAATTCCGCTTCCTCAGCTGCCTGCTGGCCACATTGTCTTGGGACCGGCGACTGAAGATCTACGAGGTGCAGTCAGCCAAGCCTCGACTGGTGACGGTCATCAGCGACCAGTGGATTCAAAATCACGCCGACCTCGCTGAAGATGTTGTCACCCTGACAGACGTCAGGCGACGAACCTACGAGCTCTCCATAGTCGGTTCGTGGTCCATCCTGGGTGCCAAATGTTCGCTCCGGTCGTCGATCTGACCGGGCATCAAATGCCTGACGTGACTTTGGTATCGCGTATTGTATGACTAAGGTCATCTGCCGTTCCTTCTGAATTCTTCGCTCCAGATTAACGCCACCTTTTCACAGGCAAGAGTGCAGATTCGATCCTCACCGTACCGGACCCGTTTTTATTCGCGTCGCTGGCAAAGAGATGATTGATGCTCCCTCTCGCCAATCAGAAGCGGCATGTAGGCTTGTAGCAAGTGACTCCATGTGGCTTTTGCGCCTAGTGGTGCTATTGTGTGCGAAAGAACTAAAACGCGGGCATGTGTGGTAACCTGACTTTGGAAGCCCGCTGGGCTATAACTCAGTGGCCTGACATGACCTGATGCAAAACCTGCTATGACGTGGACCATTGTGTCGGAGGGGAGGACGGCGTGTCCCGCTGTCATCTGGCCTGACCCCTGCTCGTCCGCAGACATGACATTGACCAGTGTGTCAGAGGGGGAGCATGGTGTGGTCCACTGTCGCCTGGCCTGACCTCTGCTCGCCCGCAGACATGGCATGGACTGGTATGTCGGAGGGGGAGAACGGCGTGGCCCGCTGTCACCTGGTCACCGTGACCCGGTCCGGTCACCTGGCTGTGTGGAGGGTCACCGCCGGTAGCCTCCGGGCCGACCTCGTCGCCCAGTGGGTGCTGCCGGACCCGGATGACCGGGTCACGTGTCTGGCCTGGCTCGAGTCAGGTGAGCGGGCTCGGCATTATCGGCTCTGTCCATCTTCCCACGCTGACATCGACTACGGTGGGAGCCGTTTGGACCACCGTTTTAGCCGTTTTAACCACGACAATTGCTATCTACTTAGTTTCGCCGCGGTCATAACGTGATCTTTGCAAGTCGGTTAGCGCTGTTTGAACGCATGGCACCCTCCCAGGCTGATTTGCTCAAACGCCAGAGGAGTGCGTTGTAAGCTCGACTGTCAGGAACCTCAGATTATCCATTCGCGTCCGGTTCTGATTTATATCGGGCCGCTTTGGACGTATCGGTGCTGGTCTGACGTCTCCGCCTCTCCGACAGGAGCTTTGCTGCTGGGCCGGCAGTCGGGCCGTCTGCTGGGGTACGGCCTGAGCCTGACCGACCGGGTGACGCACACGCCACCCTGGACGCTTCTGGCCGACGAGGACCAGCTGCCGGTGAGTGGACGCCGCGTAGCCGCCTGTGCGCAGACAGCTGTCGAGACACCGGCCTGTTCAAGACGGACGTCGGAGTCTATAAAATCGAGCTGTTTTGGGCTCAAAATAACTTCTGATTGCGTCATGTGCAGGAACTGTCAATGCGATGATCAAACCAAAAGCAGGTCAGCCAGAATAATTGGTCTGCAGCTGGCTGAATTTGTCGCTAGTCCTTTGACGAGGCGTGCTGTCATTACACACGATTAATTGCGTCAATTATGGCTGTTATAATTGGTTATGATAAGGCAGTCGTAATAGCGTTATTCCTCGGAGAAAAATAGGAGGATGAAGATATAAATGCATTGGTATTTCTGCGACACGCCTTTATCAAAATATTAACGCATCAATGTCGTCATTCTCCTGGTTTTTCTCCGAGGAATAAGGCGGTTACTGCTGCCTTATCTATGTGCATAATGTTTCTTGCAGATGCACTTAACAACTTAACAACTTACGTAACCGTCATAATCGACCTTTAATGATGATCAGTGCGGCTATCAAAAGTACACAGCGCTCCACGATGGCCTTCGAGAGGTGCCCGTCCGTCACCGACCTCGGCGTGTCCGTCGGTGCGGCGCCGGTGACTTCCACCGCTGCTGCAGGTGAGCTGCGTCGTCGCGGCCGACACGGGCGCCGACCCGCCGCTCCTGCTGGCCAAGGGATTCGCCGTGATGGCGCTGCGACTGACGAGGAGTGGCGACGCGGCCACGGTGACCGGCTCGGCGTTCGTCCGGCTGGAGGGCGCCCAGGTGACAGGTGAGGCCTGGCCGTGCGCGGTCTGATGTGCTGCAGCGACGGGACGCGAGCGGACCGAGCCTGTAAGTCCTCGGCTGTAGCCCCCACTATGTCAGTATGCAGTGATGCCTCATGTACACAGATGTATATGGAAGAACACAGCTGTAATGATATAAGTATGTGCACAGTGATAATATGTGTGCGTAGATGGAGGTGTGCTATGATGCAAGATTATGTGTACCATTTACAACTGGTTAAAGTCCGGCAGACAACGCTTCCACTTGAGCTGTTCAGCATGCACGCCATCCCAGCGGGCTCGCGGACGCTTGTCCCCGCTCACATGCTCACCCGCTCGCTGACGGTCCGTGTCCGGCAGACATGTCTCCGGGCTGACGGTCCGTGCCCGGCAAACATGTCCCCGCTGTTCCCTGGCTGGCGGACCGTGCCTGACAGGCATATCCCCGCTGTGCTCTGGCTGACAATCCGTGTCCGGCAGGTATGGCCCCGCTGTCCCCGGGCTGCGCCATCGTGTCGACGCTGTACAACCAGTTCTGGACGGTGCGGCTGGAGGAGGGCGAGCCCCTGGCGCTGCGCTCGGCACCTATCTCGGTCCTGCTCGAGCCCGTGCATTACTCGTGCCACGCCTTGGCCACCTCGCCGAGTCGCGTCATCATCTGCACTGTCGAAAGGTCGGTCCGCCGGCGGCTCGGCGCTGGGCCGCTCTGGGCTACGGCGTTTACTGTGATCGACTGGGGACGCCATGGCCTAGCTGTGGAGCTCTGGTTAAGGGTCAGAGTTGGCGACTGTGCTCCTCACTGCACTGCGTGTGTGCAGATGAAACGTTTGTGGTGGCAACAGTCGCAAACGTTGGCAAGATGACGGATATTGTAATGCGGTTCAAACACCGGATGCGATGGCGATGTGGCGCGCTGGTTCACCGGACCTCTTCCGGTCGGCAGCAGCCCAGCAGCCTCGTCGCGTTGGACTGCTGCCGACCGTTCCCTTCGGCGAGCGCGGCGCCCCTGTCTGTCCTGAAGCCCACCACCTGGCTGCGGCCGCAGGGTGTTCGACTACTACGACCATCTGCAGCTGCGTGAACCGGTGCGGGTCAGCTTCACGCTGCTGGAGCAGCCGCTGGACCAGCTGCTCAACTCGGTGCTCAACAGCCGGCTGCCGTTGCGCCGGCTCACGGACGTGCTGGAGGCGGCCAGGTCAGCCAGCCTACGGGGCTTAAATATCGGTCCGCCGGGGGTCAGGCGGCCAGGCCAGACGCCCTACGGGGCTCGAGTGTCGGTCCGGCCGGGGTCAGGCGGTCAGGTCAGCCAGCCTACGGGGCTCGAGTGTCGGTCCGGCCGGGGTCAGGCGGTCAGGTCAGCCAGCCTACGGGGCTCGAGTGTCGGTCCGTTCCGTGTCAGGGGTTGTGGTGTGGGCGGAGTGCCGCGCCGTCCCGTGTCAGGGGTTGTGGTGTGGCCGGAGTGCCGCTTCGTCCCGTGTCAGAGGGTGTCGTGTGGCCGGAGTGCCGCGCCGTCCTGTGTCAGGAGATGTGGTGTGGCCGGAGTGCCGCTCCGTCCCGTGTCAGGGGGTGTCGTGTGGCCGGAGTGCCGCGCCGTCCCGTGTCAGGGGATGTGGTGTGGCCGGAGTGCCGCTCCGTCCCGTGTCAGGCGGTGTGGTGTTGTTTGTGAGCGGAATGCGTCGTTTTCACGTCATGACAGCCGGCGACGCCGCTGGGAGACGATCGGTACGTGGACGTACGGTTGGGTTGTTTCTGACCGCCGCGGGAGCGCGTTGGCGAGCTCGGAGGCCGTCTCGGCGCCGCACCGCGTGGCTCGGCCGCACCCCCTCCCGCGATGCCCCTGTGTCCCTGAGGCAGACTGGCCGCGTGCCGCCAGACTGACAATGCTGGTGGACAAGACGCCGTTCTCGCTGCTGGAGGGGGACGAGGCACTCTCCCGCCAGTCCGCGCGTCACCTGCAGAGCACGCTCTTCATGGCCTGCTCCTCGCACCCGCTGCAGAAGCCCGGCGACGCTGCCGCCCCCGATCTGGTGAGGTGCTGTCGGCTCCGGCCTGCACGGACCATGACTCGGGAGACCGGCGCATTTCCTGCTGGCCGCACCATGGGAGGGCAAGGCGGATGCGTTACACTCCGCTTGCGTACCGTTGGTTGTTTAGAGGCGAGCTATTTTCTTTGTGCATTGCTCGTGAAGGACCTTACGTATTCGTGGAAGTCTTCGTGAAAACATGCACTCAATCATGGCTTTTCGTGTCGTTTCGACTCGAGGTACTCCGAGTGCCATTGTCCGTCCACAATTCTCGCGAGTGTGAGGTGAGGGCAAACAGTTATGTTGTCGGTCATCGACGCGACAGCCACTTGGCAGCTATGTGACGTAAGACGGTGTCGGGGCGTGCCGACCAACTTTCCTGGCGATGAACATCGGAGTGGGGCACAATTCAGGCTGCTGTCTCAAAACTGAGGAGTGCGGCACAATTTAGGCTGCTGTCTCAAAACTGAAGCCGCTTGGAATAAGCGTGCAGCGCTCTGCCCCCCCCCCCCTACCCCTCCAGTGTATCGGCGGGCCGTCCTCACTCTGCCCTGTGGGGCGGCGGACCGCGCTGGGGTTCAGCGCGTTAGCACTCCCCCCCCCCCCCCTCTCCCCCTCCAGTATATTCAGCGGGCTGTCCTCACGCTGCCCTGTGGGGCGGCGAACCGCGCTGAGGTGCTGGTCGCCGATGTCTCCCCGTCTGGCGACAGGACAGGTACGCCGAGTTGCTGCGCGTCCACCTGCTGCGTGGCCACCTGGCGCGCGCGCTGGAGCGCCCGGGTGCCGCTGCCGGTCCGTTCCAGAAGCGTGCCAGAGCGGTGCTGGCCGCCGAGCCGGCGGAGCTCGGCGGCGTGGTCGACGCCATGCCCGCCTGTGGCATCTGCCAACAGGATATCCTTTTGTTGTGGCGGTTGAGACTCGAGTGTTTGTGTTGTAGAGATGTGTACACAGACATCACATTTCCTGGCCCATAAGCCGTCTTCTTTCTTGTCAGTGGCTAAGTCTTTGTGTTGCACTATTTTGGCAAAGTTTCGCTTCCACCCGGGCGCTATGGCAAGCCCGTGGACCACGAGCATAATTGCTGGTTTTGCAGCGCAGTGTTTATAGTGTAGCGTTATTATGGAAGCGGCCGAAGCTATCATAACACGACTTCTTTGTTTATGCCGTTCATCGCAATTTAGTCACCGCTATGAACATTTGGTATTTGCTGTAAGGCCGCTTTCATGACATGCGGATTTCCCCTCATTCCAGAAATATTCAGGTTTTACACCTCTCCTCGTGGCCTGATGCCTCCGAAAGTCGCGCTTAATACCCGCTGTACCTGCAAAACTTACTATCTGCGTGCTGTATGTTGCTTCGAACTGCGACTGAGCCGGGGTAATGTTGACGTAGATTTAGTTTTGCCAGTTGTTGAATGGTTCGGCTTTGCTTGTTGGTGCTTGATAGGCATCCCTCATCAGCGTAGTCACGTGCGTGCCCCTGCCCTGCCCTTGTCATGAATACCATCAGTGGACGCAGCCCGCCCGCCCTCGTGGTAACCTGGCCGGGCCCTCTGACGCGGCGTGTCCGCGGGTCCGGTGTATGCGTGTGTGTGCGTGTGTGTGAGTGTTATGACCTTGACCGTTGGCGGCACGTGTGAGCGCGCTGACCAGTCTGGAGGCGATGTGTGAGGCCGGCCATCGACTGCCCGTCTGCTGCCAGACGGCGGCGCTCTGTGACACCGTGCCCTACCGACGCTGCGAACAGTGTGGCGCGTTTGCCCTCAACGACACAGTGGCCGAGACAGGTGAGCGGCGCGCCGGACAGGTCCGGGCCGAGGGGTAGTCCGAGCCGAGCGGCGATCCGAGCCGAGGGGTGATGCGAGCCGAGGTGTGATCTCCGAGGTAAGGGATGATCCGAGCCGAGGGGTGACCTCCGAGCCGAGCGGCGATCCGAGCCGGGCGGTGATCCGAGCCGAAGGATTCGGGCCGAGGGATCCGAGTTTATGCTGCCCGCTGACGCGGTGTTTCAACAGTGCGATTACGTCTCTTGATCAGGCCTGAGCCATTTCGTGTGTGCAATTTCTGGTCTTTTCTTAGGCATGTGCCACTTTGTTCAAACCGATGGGTAGGGGAACCATGTACTTTGTGTGATTAGCTTTGTTTGGGGATGATGCCCGGGCGTGGAGGAGTTGCTGCGTGCGAGGCTGTTGCTGTGTCGTCGGTTTCACGACTCTTCACTGCCTCAGCCGCGTGGTCGTGCGACAGGTCTGGGCCTGGGGCCGTGGTGTACCTTCTGTGACGGCCGGCTGAGCAGCTCCCTATGACCGGCAGGTTTGGACCTGGGGCCGTGGTGTACCTTCTGTGACGGTCGGCTGAGCAGCTCCCTATGACCGGCAGGTCTGGGCCTGGGGCCGTGGTGTACCTTCTGTGACGGTCGGCTGAGCAGCTCCCTATGACCGGCAGGTCTGGGCCTGGGGCCGTGGTGTACCTTCTGTGACGGTCGGCTGAGCAGCTCCCTATGACCGGCAGGTCTGGACCTGGGGCCATGGTGTACCTTCTGTGACGGTCGGCTGAGCAGCTCCCTATGACCGGCAGGTCTGGGCCTGGGGCCGTGGTGTACCTTCTGTGACGGTCGGCTGAGCAGCTCCCTATGACCGGCAGGTCTGGGCCTGGGGCCGTGGTGTACCTTCTGTGACGGTCGGCTGAGCAGCTCCCTATGACCGGCAGGTCTGGACCTGGGGCCATGGTGTACCTTCTGTGACGGTCGGCTGAGCAGCTCCCTATGACCGGCAGGTCTGGACCTGGGGCCATGGTGTACCTTCTGTGACGGTCGGCTGAGCAGCTCCCTATGACCGGCAGGTCTGGGCCTGGGGCCATGGTGTACCTTCTGTGACGGTCGGCTGAGCAGCTCCCTATGACCGGCAGGTCTGGACCTGGGGCCATGGTGTACCTTCTGTGACGGTCGGCTGAGCAGCTCCCTATGACCGGCAGGTCTGGACCTGGGGCCATGGTGTACCTTCTGTGACGGTCGGCTGAGCAGCTCCCTATGACCGGCAGGTCTGGGCCTGGGGCCGTGGTGTACCTTCTGTGACGGTCGGCTGAGCAGCTCCCTATGACCGGCAGGTCTGGACCTGGGGCCGTGGGGGGGGGGGAGGAAGGGGGAGGTGAGCTGAGTGTGTTGCGCGTGAAACTCGCTTTGGATGTGGCAGCGTTTTATTGCAGTGACGTTGTAACGAATGGCAGCAGTAGCCATCGCAAATAGGTGTCAGGACAGGTCACTTTGTCCAGTTGTCAGCTGTGCTGTCATGATGTCAGTCATGTGGCTGGGCTGCGCGTCAGTGCTATATGATATATTGGTGCCCCTGAATGACTGGTGACTGTCGGCCAGAGGTGGTCCAGGGATCTCCGTGCTGGGATTGGCCCCAGCGTATTTCGAGACGCTTACGGGACGCCGGGCCGACCCCGGTCGTGGAGGGTGGCCGTATTTTTCCAGTTTCCGGTCGCTCATTGCAGTTCTCGTGTCTGCAATGATCGTGCGAGTGATGTGTTAGTTTCCCTGCTCGTGTGGATCACGTGTATTCCACGCCAGTATTTGCCGTCCTTACGTGTGTGCGTGAAGCGTGGCTTGAAGCCCGAGCTGTCGCCCCCAGTCGTTTGGCGCTCCGCCACCGAATACAGGCACGGCTGAGCGTCAGCTGACCAGTGCTGCACCCTGCACGTCGGCGGGATACGGTCGGCGTGCGCGTCCAGACAGCCAGCTACCGCGGCAAGGCGTGCGGCTGGCGAGGTGCTCCAGCGCCGGATACGAGGGACGTTTTCCATCCCCAGCAAATAATTGATCCACCAACGCCCGGGGATAGCTGCCATATCTGCATCTGCCGTCTCCGTGGTGTATGCATAAGGCTGCTGGGGTTATTTTACCCTTGTGGTTTCACTGGGGCTGGAAATCAGCGGTCTTCTAGTGAGGTAAAAAGGATTTAATGAACAATCCTTGGCAGAGAACGCACTCGTTGGTAAACATTCACAGTAAGCATGTATTTCTGAACGCCTTCCCTCAGAACCCATGGCCGGCGGGCGCCCAGAGGAAATCGACATAGTTCGCATGGAGCCCGTACAAAACTTAAGCTAGGCTGGTAATGACGTCTAGGTGGGCACTTACCACATGTAAGCCACATCGGTTCACGCAACATCGAATGAGGAGAGAAACACCAACACTTACGGCGAGCACACATCTACCCGACCTCCTCTGTTCTGTGGTGTGCGCATAGTAACGCATGTGCACGGGACCAGGCTTGCGCCGACAGCTGGTATGACCCTCAGCAGTGGTCTGGGAGACACCCCCAATCTGGTGGACGCCGAATCGATCAGGGAACCTCAGCTGCGACACACCTAATGCAGTAGCTAGACATCCGTGGTGGACACTGGGCACGATGCACGATACCTTACCTAACACGAGGAGTTACAAACAGCTCACATGCATTGGCGACGCAATATGCCCCGTCTGGCCACCAGTGCCATCACGTTCACACCGACGACAGCACAGCAGCCTCAGCTGCCATTGCAGACACCGACGGCACAGTACATTAAGCTACACATCGAGTCTGCGTCCTGAATCCCAGCTGCGCCCGCCAGAGCCCGGCCCCCGCCAGAGCTCAGCTCCCGCCATAGCGCGGCCTCCGCCAGAGCGCGGCCCCATCAGGGCGCGCAGTAGCGTCCGCCAGAGCCCGGCTTCCGCCAGAGGTCAGCTCCCGCCAGAGCTCGGCTCCCACCAGAGCGTGGCCCCACCGGGGCGCCCAGTAGCGCCCGCCAGAGCGCGATCCCCGCCAGAGCACGGCTCCCGCCACAGCGTGGCCCCACCAGGGCGCGCGGTAGCGCCCGCTAGAGCGCGGCCCCCGCCAGAGCGCAGCCCCCGCCAGAACGTGACCCCATCAGGGCGCGCAGCTGCGCCCGCCAGAGCGCGGCTCCCACCAGAGCGCAGCCCCACCAGAGCCCGGCCCCCGCCAGGGCTCGGCCCCCACCAGAGCGTGGCCCCACCAGGGCGCGCAGTAGCGCCCGCTATAGCACGGCCCCCGCCAGAGCTCGGCCCCCACCAGAGCGTGGCCCATCAGGACGCGCAGCTGCGCCCGCCAGAGCACGGCTCCCGCCACAGCGCGGCCTCCGCCACAGCGCGGCTCCTGCTAGAGGCACGGCCTCTGCTAGAGCACGGCCTCTGCCAGAGCACGGCCCGCGCCAGAGCACGGCCCGCGCCAGAGCACGGCCCGCCGCGGCCAGCGCCGTATCCTTCCCGGTCGCCGTCTCCGCTAGCCGCTGAAGTGTCCCTTGATGGTCTCCAGAGCGCGCGAAAGTTTGGACTGCCGGTGGCTGGCCAGCTCCTTTTTCTTCTGGCGCTCCTTGCGCAGCGCGTCGGTGTGCGGGTTCTCGGCCATCACGTCGATGACGTCCTCCTTGTCCGAGTCGACGCGTCGCTCCGGCAGGCGGCCGTGCTTGCCGATCAGCCAGTATGTCTCCATGGAGCCCGTGCCCTGAGAGGCCGACCGGCCCTGCCGAGCACGCCGCCCCGGTCAGGCCAGTGCTCCAGCAGCTACCGGGGCTTAGCTCTCTCAGACCTCCACCCTTCCGTCAGCTCCAGGGTCTCGCCGGAGGATCGACGTGTTGCCACTGATCTCAGGTGCATTTTCGTCTCTCACCCCACTGTCGGGCTTAAATACCCGAGCCCGGCTGCGATGCTACCTTCTAATCGAGAACTCCTCCCCGAACCAAAAACAGAATTAGTTTTGGTGCACCCCTCCCTTAGCCTCACTATTAGCTTACTACTGAAGTGTGCCGGGGCACCGGGAACGCTGTCGGGTCAATATCGCTACGCTTTGGTGACCTGCTCCCACGCAAACTTCTCAGTATGTACTCCCCATGCATACTGTTGCACAAAGTATGCTCATGTTGCACTATGTCTATCCATTATATTGGATACAATCTAACGTTCGTGCGCTGCTGCATTCCTCACCCTCCTTTTATTACACATTTTTTATATTTCACACATCCAGATGCATTGCCCCGTGCGATGCGATGCGATTACACATGCGATGCATTCACAACATCACATCTCGCATTCCTGCTTTCCTTTCTTTCCTTTCACGCCAGTTTCCCCCTGCGCTCAGCACACACCTATGCAAACAATGGACCCATAGCGCTGCATTATAGCAGCCTTACACAGCAGCTGCCTTATGCTATGGCTTTTCTTTCCGTCCTTTCACTCCATTCGTCTTTTCTCTTTTGTTTTATTACGATCCGTACAACCCGTGCGCTCCACACAGACAGCGCATCTCTACGTGCATCCGGTTGCACCCACCCTGCTCCTTCATTAGTCGAGTTCCTCACACTTGGTGCAGTTATCTCCCCTTCCCTCTCCCGTTGGATCCATGTCTCACCCAGCCGATACATCCATCTCCTCTCCCTCCCGCTGGATCCATGTTTCACCCAGCCGGTGCATCTATCTCCTCTCCCTCCCGCTGGATCCATGCCTCACCCAGCCGGTGCATTCGTCTCCTCTCCCTCCCGCTATGTCCATATCTCGCCCAGTCGGTACATTCATCTCCTCTCTCTCCCGCTGGATCCATGCCTCACCCAGTCGGTGCATCCATCTCCGATCCCTCCCGCTGGATCCCTGTCTCACCCAGTCGGTCATCTTGACGCGGATCTCCATCTCGCCTCGCAGCTTCATGATAAAACCGCCGGCGCGATCCAGTGCCTCCATGGTAGCTGCAGTGATGTGAATCTTGAAAGCTGGAACCAGGCCCAGTCAGCGGCGGACTGTGGTATCTGCGCCCGCACCGCCCCAGTACTCTGGCAGACTGTGCTATCTGCGGTTGCGCCGCCCTAGTACAATGGCGGACTGTGCTATTTGCGCTAGCATCTCCCCAGTACTCTGTCAGACTGCTATCGACGCTCGTGCCGTTCCAGTGCTCTGGCAAACGGTGCTATCTGCGCTAGCGCTGCCCTAGTACACTGACGGATTGTGCTATTTGAGCTAGCATATTCTCAGTACGCTGACAGACTGCGCTATCGGTACCCGCACCGCCCCAGTACGCTGGCAGTCTGCTATGATCTAGCGCCGCCTCAGCGCGCCGACGGACCGCGCTGCATGGCTGCAGACTGCATCTGCGCTCGCCAGTAATAATCGACTTCGGTTCGTCGTGAACACGGCCGACTTTAAGACCCTCCCGCCGCATACGGCCCATGTGATGCGGCAGAGGAGCCGCACCTCCGCGGTCTCCCATGGAGAGCACACACTGATAGGGACAGCTCGGCGGCTGGCGTAGGGGTCACTCACGCAGTCCAGCGGCCTCCATCTTGCTGGCGACGTTGACTGTTTCGCCGAAGAGTGTGTAGCGCGGCATCTTGGTGCCGACCACGCCGGCCACCACCGGCCCCGTGTGGATGCCTATGCGGATCTGGAGCCGCTCGCCGGGCATGTGCGGCACCACGAAGTTCTCGGTGGCGTGCAGCAGGTCCAGTGCCATCGAGGCCACCTCGGCCGCGTGGTCCTTGCCTGCCGGGGGAGGAAGGGGGGTCAGGCGGGCACGGAAGGAGTGTGTCGGGGTCAGGTGAACATAGTGCGGGCAGAGGGGTGGCCCTTCCCCTTTCGCACGCTCCTCCCCCGGGCCGGGCGCGCTGCTTCCCCTCCCGGTAGAGTTGTTCCTCCACCCCCCTCCGCCGAAGGGTCATCTTACCCCTGCTAGTCAGTCCGTGCGGGGTTGAATGGGGCCGATTTGATTGGTCTGGGACCCTGAAACAGCGGTTTGGGGCCCTGTATCGGTCACGTCACGGGCTTTTAGGAGATCTGATAAGCGGCCGGAGGACCCCTCGGGACCAAAGATCAGCGGCCCAACTGAACTCAGGCCCGCCTCCTTAACACTCACCCGCTACCTGAAATGTAAATCAGAGGGCTTCTATAAGGATGCTCTCATTAGGGCTCTCTATTCCTGTTATATAGGGATGTGTAAATATTATTGATCGATGGGCCCAAGGGGGACCCTAGGCCCCGAATACAAGGCATCGACACGGAGCTAAGCAGTCAGCTGCATGTCCATCTGAGCCCTCGAGACCCATTTCCCAAGCAGGAACGGGGCCCGCGACTTGCGGTACGTGACGGGCCTGAACGGTCTCGGGGTTAAAAAGAAACGAACCAGGCCATCCATATTTGCCTGAGAACGTTTGTTCTTTTGCAGAATCAACTGCAACAAGAGCGTAAAAAATAAAACATCAAACGAATTACACCCAAGGTTTCAGCATGCGCGCCCACAATCTCGGGAGCAGGGACATCGATGGCCTGGGTTGCAGTTTCCGTCGAACCGAACGGCGTTGGCCGCTGAAAGTAACACCAGGCGGCGGGCGTTGTGCGTGTGAGAGCGATCGTCATAAAAATGGTGTCGAATGTCTTTTAAATTAATTCACACTGCTCAAATATAAGACTGGGTGCATCTTTTCTGCAACTTTGAACCTGTGTTCTGGACAGATTAACAGTTGACACGAAAAAAGAGATTCTTTGCTCTACCAGTTCCACCACCAAATTCCAGATTCCATACCACTTCGCGTTGTTGGAATGGTCCATCCCTTCTCATCATCAATCTAAAAATCACACAGGTGAAATATACCCCCGGACTTCCTCCGAAACTTACTGTTTGATGTCGCAAGGCGTCAAAAGGTTCTTATTTCAAATGTATTATCACTTTTCGTTCTTTCGTTGACCACGGCCCAGCGTTGGCCCAGGGACCGACGCTGCAAGGCTTGTGGAAACTGCAACGCCTGGCATTGAAGTTTTTATTTAAGATTTGGCGAGCGCGCACTTACGTGACTTTCCAGACAACATGGCTTGGCAGTGTGGCCACAAATTGTTCGCCCATTTCGATCTACATTCGCGGGGCTGAAATCTCCGTACAGCCAATGCGAATAATCTGAAAATTTTCTGAGTTCTCTCGGTTTAGGAAGAGTCAATTACGCCTTAAAAACATGCAGACCGCCGGTGATTTCTTTGACGCAGTCGCTTTACACATGTTTATTAACTATAAATTCAGGCAGAATTGATGTCGCAGTAGCTTCTGGCTTCTGTTCCAGTTATAAGAGGTAACAATGAAAAATGTAAAAGACCGAAATGCCTTCATTAAGAAATCGGCCACATCCGGCCTTTTTGCAGTGCGGTCTTCCATCAGGGGCCCTTTGTCAACCCTGTGCCCCCTCTGCCAATGCTCTGGTTGCGCGCCTGGTCGGACACAGAGGGTGTGTCACGGTTAGATGGACACGGAATGTATGCCAGGTTCAGGTGGACACGGAGCGTGTGTCAGGGTCGGGTCAACACGGAGCGTGTGTCAGGGTCGGGTCAACACGGAGGGTGTGTCAGGGTCGGGTCAACACGGAGGGTGTGTCAGGTTCAAGCGGGCACGGAGGGTGTGTCAGAGTCGGGTGGACGTGGGAGAAGTGTGTTAGGATCAGGTGGACGCGGGAGGGGTGAGTCTGGGTCAGGTGGGCACCGGAGGGGTGTGTCAAAGTTGGGTGAACGTGGGAGGGGTGTGTCAGGAACAGGTGGCCGCGGGAGGGGTGTGTCAGGGTGAAGTGGGCGCGGGAGGGGTGTGTCAGGGTTAAGTGGACGCGGGAGGAGTGTGCCAGGGTCAGGTGGGCACTGGAGGAGCGTGTCAGGATCAGGTGAGCATGGTAGAGGTGTGTCAAGGTCATCTGGCTACTGGAGTGGTGTGTTAGGGCCAGTTGGACGCGGAAGGGGTGGGCCAGGGCCAGGTGGGCAAGGGAGGAGTGTGCCAGGGTTAGATGGACGTGGCGGGGGAGGGGATCAGGGTCAGGTGGGCACGAGAGAGGCGTGTCATGGTCAGGTGAGCACGGGAGAGGTTATGGTCAGTGGGCACGGAGAGGTGTGTCAGGTCAGGTGCACGGGGGTGTGTTGCCAGTGTCAGGTGGCACGGGAGGTGTGGCTGGTCAACGGAGAGGTGGTCAGGTCAGGTGGGCACGGAGATGTGTCATGGTCAGGTGGGCACGGGGAGGTGTGTCAGGTCAGTGGGCACGGGAAGGTGTGTCATGTCAGGTGGGCACAGGGTGTGTCAGTGGTCAGTGTCAGGATGGGGCACGGGAGAGGTGTGTCGTGGTCCAGGTGGTCCAGGTTGGGCAGTGCACGGGAGAGGTGTGTCATGGTCAGGTGGGCACAGGGTGTGTGTGTCAGTGTCAAGTGGGCACGGGAGGTGTCATGGTCAGGTGGGCACAGGGTGTGTGTGTCAGTGTCAGGTGGGCACGGGAGAGGTGTGTGATGGTCAGGTGGGCACGGGAGAGGTGTGTCATGGTCAGGTGGGCACAGGGTGTGTGTGTCAGTGTCAGGTTGGGCACGGAGAGGTGTGTCATGGTCAGGTGGACACGGGAGAGGTGTGTCATGGTCAGGTGGGCACAGGGGGTGTTGTCAGTGTCAGGTGGGCACGGGAGAGGTGTGTCATGGTCAGGTGGGCACAGGGTTGTGTGTCAGTGTCAGGTGGGCACGGGAGAGGTGTCATGGTCAGGTGGGCACAGGGTGTGTGTGTCAGTGTCAGGTGGGCACGGGAGAGTGTGTGATGGTCAGGTGGGCACGGGAGAGGTGTGTCATGGTCAGGTGGGCACAGGGTGTGTGTGTCAGTGTCAGGTGGGCACGGGAGAGGTGTGTCATGGTCAGGTGGGCACGGGAGAGGTGTGTCATGGTCAGGTGGGCACAGGGTGTGTGTGTCAGTGTCAGGTGGGCACGGGAGAGGCGTGTCATGGTCAGGTGGGCACGGGAGAGGTGTGTCATGGTCAGGTGGGCACAGGGTGTGTGTGTCAGTGTCAGGTGGGCACGGGAGAGGTGTCATGGTCAGGTGGGCACGGGAGAGGTGTGTCATGGTCAGGTGGGCACAGGGGGTGTGTGTCAGTGTCAGGTGGGCACGGGAGAGGTGTGTCATGGTCAGGTGGGCACGGGAGAGGTGTGTCATGGTCAGGTGGGCACGGGGTGTGTGTCAGGGTCAGGTGGGCACGGGAGAGGTGTGTCATGGTCAGGTGGGACGGGAGAGGTGTGTCATGGTCAGGTGGGCACAGGGTGTGTGTGTCAGTGTCAGGTGGGCACGGGAGAGGTGTGTGATGGTCAGGTGGGCACGGGAGAGGTGTGTCATGGTCAGGTGGGCACAGGGTGTGTGTCAGTGTCAGGTGGGCACGGGAGAGGGTGTCATGGTCAGGTGGACACGGGAGAGGTGTGTCATGGTCAGGTGGGCACAGGGTGTGTGTGTCAGTGTCAGGAGGGCACGGGAGAGGTGTGTCATGGTCAGGTGGGCACAGGGTGTGTGTCAGTGTCAGGTGGGCACGGGAGAGGTTGTGATGTCAGGTGGGCACGGGAGAGGTGTCATGGTCAGGTCAGGTGGCACAGGGTGTGTGTGTCAGTGTCAGGTGGGCACGGGAGAGGTGTGTCATGGTCAGGTGGACACGGGAGAGGTGTGTCATGGTCAGGTGGGCACAGGGGGTGTGTGTCAGTGTCAGGCGGGCACGGGACGGGTGCGTCATGGTCAGTGTGGACGTGGCGGGAGTATGTCACGGCCAGGTGGGCACGGGAGAGGTATGTCACGGTCAGGGGGGGCACGGAAGGGGCATGTCAGGTCAGCTGGGTACTGGAGGGGTGTGTCATGGTCAGGTGGGCACGGGAGAGGTGTGTCATGGTCAGGTGGGCACAGAGGGTGTGTGTCAGTGTCAGGTGGGCACGGGACGGGTGCGTCATGGTCAGGTGGACACGGGAGAGGTGTGTCATGGTCAGGTGGGCACAGGGGGTGTGTGTCAGTGTCAGGCGGGCACGGGACGGGTGCGTCATGGTCAGGTGGACGTGGCGGGAGTATGTCACGGCCAGGTGGGCACGGGAGAGGTATGTCACGGTCAGGTGGGCACGGAAGGGGCATGTCAGGGTCAGCTGGGTACTGGAGAGGTGTGTCATGGTCAGGTGGACACGGGAGAGGTGTGTCATGGTCAGGTGGGCACAGGGGGTGTGTGTCAGTGTCAGGCGGGCACGGGACGGGTGCGTCATGGTCAGGTGGACGTGGCGGGAGTATGTCATGGTCAGGTGGGCACGGGAGAGGTATGTCACGGTCAGGTGGGCACGGAAGGGGCATGTCAGGGTCAGCTGGGTACTGGAGGGGGTGTGTCATGGTCAGGTGGACACGGGAGGTGTGTCATGGTCAGTGGGCACAGGGGTGTGTGTCAGTGTCAGGCGGGCACGGGACGGGTGCGTCATGGTCAGGTGGACGTGGCGGGAGTATGTCATGGTCAGGTGGGCACGGGAGAGGTATGTCACGGTCAGGTGGGCACGGAAGGGGCATGTCAGGGTCAGCTGGGTACTGGAGGGGTGTGCGAGGGTCAGGTGGGCTCTGGGACGAGGAGCGGAGTCGGCCAGGCTTGTCTGTTACTGGATGCCCAGTGACGGGTGCCAGTGTGGGTCGGACACTGGTTGATAAAGGTACGGTGATTGTGACGAGCATTGTCTGCGATGAACGCGGTGGAGCCGGGCATTTGATTAACATGCACTTGCCGTCCGAGGGTGCGGCACCAACGCTTCGTGGTGTCTGACTAATCACTGTGTCTCGGAATCGCGGGATTCCACAGGTAGCCAACAACCACTTGCATCAATACAGAGTTTCTGGTTATGGGCAAGTGCATGCCTGGTAAAGACAGACACAGTTCACACCACCAGGCATCAGCATGCATTTCTGACCGGCAGTGACTCAACAGGATCGGGACTCATATCGGCATGCATCCACAGTGACTTCAGCATGCAAAAGTGCATACTGGAGTCACTTTGACCGGATCGTTGCCATCTGGATATTAGCTTCAGCTAGATCGCATTTACACTGACTTCAAATAGCATATTACAGGCCGCGCAGAGTACACTGCGTGTTTTCGCAGTGTTGCGCAGAGGGCAGATCGACATTAGCTAAGATAAACAGAACAGGGTATGTCACCTAAAGGCGTTCACAGCAATGACATAAGCACAAACGATCAGCATTAATTGAACTCAACAGTCATGCAACATGACCAAAAACGCATTCCATATTATTTTGCACGCTCTTGAACTGGGTCAAATAGCAATAAGGCAGCCAATTCGCGGCACTGGGTGAGTGGATCACCCTACTGACAATCGTACTGGAGGCGAAGGCAGTTTGTAGTCCTGCTGCAAGCAGAGGACTGTGCCAGGGGCGCGCCCAGCTCCGGCACATGGGGCCAGCCGACGAAGGTGACCATACCATTGAAGATGGGGACGTTACCCACCATTCGGACTCTCCATCAGACCGCGTCGAGCTTTCAGGCCAAGAACTCTACCTTGGACAGAGGCACGCCCCTGCCAAAGCCACATTGACTGGAGCGACGATCTACGTGGGTGGTGACTATCTACAGAGTGCGGCCGGGTGCCGGGAACCGGGCATGAGTGTGCTGCCGAGGCGGGCTGCGACCGCGGCTGTCCATTGAGCGACGCGCTTCGACAACGCAACCAGGCGCGAGCGTACCTAGCCGGTGGTGGCTCATGATCTTATAGCAGGGCGTGGTGAAAATCAGCCGCTCCAGGTTTTCAGCCCGCAGCGGCTCTGAGGGAGCACGGGCAGCGGTCAGACGCATCGCTCAATCGGCCCCGCAGAGCGGCCGCGCCAGTGGCGCCGTCTATACTCGATGGGCGGTACCTGCGTCGTTTGGGACCGTGTTCGTGGCTCCTCGATGACGAGGCTCGCGATTGCCAGCAAACATTCCGGGAGAATACAGCTGCTGGTAATTGAAGTCCTCGTAGGTCTGAGTGATTGTGAACTACGTAGTAATGAATTAAGTAATCAAAGTACTGCAAAACAACTACAACTATTTTTATGCTGACTTTGTGAAAGGGCCTGCATACCATGCAGCAGAGCGAGTCCCTCCAGCCTATTCCAAGTGCGATGACATGGATCGGCAGCGGGCATTCACTGACTTTTGACGCATATGCGTGATAAATGAATGAGTTCGCTGAACACAGATACCGAAAGACTAAAAACATGTGAGAAATTTATTAGTCTACGAGCATATTTATGCTGTGAAAAGGTGATGATGCTGGTAATGCTTTAAAGCTGATTGTACTCACCCAGAGCTCTCTGCGGTACGCCAGAGGCTACCACGTAGGCGTCTCCGATTGTTTCTATCTTGTAAACATCGTACAGCTCGATCCTGGAGTCGAACATTTTGTAGAGTGCGTTTAGCAATGATATCACCTGTAAGCAGATCATTCGATTCTTGACTGATGACATGCCGAAGTATTCAGCCACCTAAGATGACTGGACATCACATTACGCATTTCAAGCGTAGCCAGATTTCGATGTTTCTGTGGGATCAATGCCATATACATGCCGGAAAAATACATCTATTATCCAATCGCGGAGGATATTGCCTGAGATCTGTTGGAATGGAAAAACGTGGTCGCGCTCGGGTTCGAACCGAGGACCTTCTGCGTGTAAAGCAGATGTGATAACCACTACACAACGCGACCCGATGGGAACTGAGGCGGAATTTCTGGTATGAATATGGCCATATGTCTATCTATTCATCAATAATTATATTCAAGTTGTATTTATTCATATTTATTCATATTGCCACATTGACTTTGATAACTTTTCTGATATTTGTTCAGAAAAATGCTGTTTACGAAATAGCGTTGCATTTTTATCTCTTGCTGGCAGTGTCATCCTGCACGTATCTACCCACGGCGATACAAGTCCACTATAAAGACGATGATAAAATACCTACCGCGCTTTCCAAGAACTGTACCATTGCCTTAAGAGGATCTCTCCATTCGATTATAGTGAAAATGGGACTGTCCACAAATTCGGTTAACCTGCATGTTTTGGGGAACCAAAGGCATGGGGCTCGATTCCCCATGGTGTCCTCCCAGCCAGGGTCAGAGGCAAGTGACGCCATTTAGGTTCAGCGGCTCAGTGCGTCGTAGAACCTGAACGACGTCCTTGAATTGAGTAGCAATTTTTATCATTGCTCAATATACCCCTCCCTCTGGTTATGCACTGGTAACGCTGAGCGTAGCCTTGTTACCCTGTCTTAAGTGTGCCGACGTATCAAAATGGTAACGTCCGTTTGACCCCCAATTTTGAGGTAGAGGTGCAGGAGAAAGACGGGCGTGTTGCTTGTCATGAGAGGAAGCTCACAATATCCGGCTTGGAGGTTTAAACCAAAAAACAGCATAACTTGCGAGCACTACCCCTTCCCCCCGTTCCGCTTGGGTTACGCTCCATCAAGTCCGAATCCCGGCTCCCTTCATGCGTCAATACATGAACGGCCCCGAACGAACAATGTTTTAAGTGCGGAGAAAGCTGATCAATGCTGGCCTTAAACCCACATACCTTTATTATGCCGTCATAAACCGGTATAGGTCTCGGCGACCAGATATGGCAGGCGACACTGATATAACTAACGCTAACGGTGAGAACACGGAAAAACGTGGTGGCAAAGGTTCGGGACGACACGTACGGACAACCCCTCGCAATCATGCGACACGTGCGGACAACCCCTCGCAGTCATGCGCAAACCATGGGTCCACCTATCTGCGGACGTTTTTTAAAGGAGAGTATCACATTCTCGGCAGCCAGGCAAGATGCAAGCGTGAAGCCAGCTTTGCGGTAAAGCTGTCAGTCGACCACCCTGCCATTTACGGATCATCAGATGATCTCGGCAAGACACGATCCATCTGTACGCCAGTAATCGAGCGGAAGCAGCCAATGTCACAACTTCCGTAGACCGCCCCAAATACAAGCTGCGACCTGGACTGCGACAGGTCGGGCCAGGAAACATGTAAGAGCGCACAGCCTAGTTCGTTGAGACCAAACCAAGTCAAAATATTACCAAAACATAAACTTGTTCAAACATTCCACGTCGTCCCAGCAAGTTGCCAGGTCTTTGCTTGGTCCAAAGACAGCCAACATGTCAGCAGCGTCTGTGGTCTGTGCTCACAAGCTGAACGTTCACGCTGTGCCGACAAACGCGCAAGGCGTAACATGCCAGTGCTTCGATAATCCCGACCCGTACGTGTTCCGAATGATAACGGGTTCCATTCGCTGATATTTGCAAACCGATTGTGGCTATCAGTGAGTCCGCCCGCGTGGGAGGTCTCACGCCACAGGGGCCGTCTTACTGGCATGTCAGTGACATCCGCCCGCGTGGGGCGCCTCACGTCACAGGAGCCAATGGTGCCTGTCGGTGAGTCCGCCTGCGCAGTGCGTTTCACACCACAGGAGCCGATGGCGTCTGTCAGGGAGCCCGCCCGCGTGAGGCGTTTCACACCACAGGAGCCGATGGTGCCTGTCGGTGAGTCCGCCTGGGTAGGGCGTCTCACGCTACGGGAGCCGATGGCGTCTGTCAAGGAGTCCGCCCCCGTTGGGCGTTTCACACCACAGGAGCCGATGGTGCCTGTCAGTGAAACCACCCACGTTGGGCGTCACACCCCGTCCTACTGGCATGCTGCATACATGCCAAGGTGCTCACAGCGTTCGCTCGCCGGCCTTTCCACAAATCGCTGATGTTCATCATGGAGGCAACCGAGGACACAAGTTTACACCAACTTAAATCCATGGTGTTCTCCTGGACTCTGACGTTGCCAATGATAAACAGTCGAGAACGCGAGCTGTTTTTGGCCTTGGAACGAAGCCGGGCTACACCTGGTGTTAGTTTGTCAACGCCATCTTTCCACACACTCGGCGACTACTGCAAAGCTCAATGCTAGGTACTTTTGCATTACATGTCAAAGCAATGATTATCATCTAGCACTTGCCGGAGGTACGAGACATTGTTTTAGCTCAGAGTACTTCAGACATTTGTAGACGGCAACGATAAATGTAAAGCAGCCCCTCAAGGAAAATGTTCTCTTAGACCCAACATAAGACCACCTACCATCCAACGCTCCGAAAAAAGAAATGGGGAGGTTCCGAAAACCTGCACACGCTTTTTCCATAAACACATGTGGAGTTTCAGATGCTTGCAACTGTTTGAAACAAAAAAGTTCGTGCCGGCCAAACAAGGATGTCCAGTCAAAAAATCAACTTTACTTAAAAATGCTCTTAAGTACAAGAGCAAAACATCTCGCTGCATTTTCCTGATCTGCTTGTTGCATTTCCCTATTTTGTCATTTGTTTCCTTATGACGCTGAAATATTTTGCAGTTTTGGAAGAAGCGGTGTGCCTGTGAGAAGTAAACACAGGTTAGCAGTACTCGGTTGTGGAGTTATTTTGTAAAAGCCCTTTCAGCTTCGTTGTCCAAAACTTAAGGCCGAAGACAAAGTGGAGAAGTGACCAACTTACATCCCTCTGAGAGTGATTTAGTAAGTTGTTTGGCCGCCCCAGTCGTTTTATGGCTGATGCTGGCTCCGATCGTAGTGACTTTAATAACCTCAACAGCCCCTAATGGCGGCAATTGACGCAGAAATAAATTGGGCCCGACCAGACCACACTACTGTCTTGCGTCCCTCAATAGTTGCTCCAAAGTAGGTTCGCGACGCGCGACAGTTGGTAGTCCTAGAAGCAGGCTGAGGTTGGGCATAGACCTGGATGAATGTGCCAACTCCGACACGAGCCTACTTGAATGCACCACCTCCGGCATGAACCTGGTTCAATGTGCCAACCCCGGATGCTTGCGGATGCGACCATACTTTATGTCAGGCAAATGCCTTTTAAACCCAAACTGACGCTGTATGTCATTTGAGGCTATCGAAGCTCTAAACCGCAAACCTTCAAAATCACAGATAGGAGTGTGGTTTCCTATTGCGATTGGAGGGGCTCCAGCACCTTCCCCAACTTTGAGAGAGAGAGAGAGAGAGAGAGAGAGAGAGAGAGAGAGAGAGAGAGAGAGAGAGAGAGAGAGAGAGAGAGAGAGAGAGAGAGAGAGAGAGAGAGAGAGAGAGAGAGAGAGAGAAGAGAGAGAGAGAGAGAGAGAGAGAGAGAGAGAGAGAGAGAGAGAGAGAGAGAGAGAGAGAGAGAGAGAGAGAGAGAGAGAGAGAGAGAGAGAGAGAGAGAGAGAGAGAGAGAGAGAGAGAGAGAGAGAGAGAGAGAGAGAGAGAGAGAGAGAGAGAGAGAGAGAGAGAGAGAGAGAGAGAGAGAGAGAGAGAGAGAGAGAGAGAGAGAGAAGAGAGAGAGAGAGAGAGAGAGAGAGAGAGAGAGAGAGAGAGAGAGAGAGAGAGAGAGAAGAGAGAGAGAGAGAGAGAGAGAGAGAGAGAGAGAGAGAGAGAGAGAAGAGAGAGAGAGAGAGAGAGAGAGAGAGAGAGAGAGAGAGAGAGAGAGAGAGAGAGAGAGAGAGAGAGAGAGAGAGAGAGAGAGAGAGAGAGAGGAGAGAGAGAGAGAGAGAGAGAGAGAGAGAGAGAGAGAGAGAGAGAGAGAGAGAGAGAGAGAGAGAGAGAGAGAGAGAGAGAGAGAGAGAGAGAGAGAAGAGAGAGAGAGAGAGAGAGAGAGAGAGAGAGAGAGAGAGAGAGAGAGAGAGAGAGAGAGAGAGAGAGAGAGAGAGAGAGAGAGAGAGAGAGAGAGAGAGAGAAGGAGAGAGAGAGAAGAGAGAGAGAGAGAGAGAGAGAGAGAGAGAGAGAGAGAGAGAGAGAGAGAGAGAGAGAGGAGAGAGAGAGAGGAGAGAGAGAGAGAGAGAGAGAGAGAGAGAGAGAGAGAGAGAGAGAGAGAGAGAGAGAGAGAGAGAGAGAGAGAGAGAGAGAAGAGTGGGTAAAATCACTGGGAAACCTATATTTTCCTTTTTAGGGCAAGTCTAGCCATTTCCCCACAGCCCTACCCCAACTTATGTCACGAAATTATGCCACTGTCCTCGGGGTACAAGGTTCATGATTCCTTCTAGGGCATTTTGTCCGCCATCCAACAACATTGGGTGCGACTTTACCACGGCAGCGTCAATTACACCGACCCCGAACAGTACAGTACCACATCGAGTCGAATCCGATTCCAACTCAACTAGATGTGGTGTCACTCGATAATCGATTCGATGGAGTCGGCGGGGTTAGGCTCGTGGGGATGTCTTTGGCGACGGCCATTTTGCGCAGCCATCGACTCCGCAGTTGAAGTAAAAATCCGCTTTATGTTCGCCATCAAAGTCGGTATGTGGCCGCTTGACTTGTTCAATAGGCAGCTTTATATGACCTGCTTCATTTGATGCGCGCATAAACTGTCCGACTGTGCTATATCATGTGTTTACGCTCGTACTTGAGTCGACTCAACGACGCTTTTGTCGACTCAACTTCGATTGCAGCTCACAACAGAAGTTCATGGGAATTTGATTTCGCACTGAACCAACAAACACGTTGTCGATTCCATAGTCGATTCCGACCTACACCCGGACGGAATCAGCTCCAGTCTTCATATACAAGCATGATCAACATGACACATGGAGACACCGCCGCCGTTCATTCCCGGATTTCGTCGCTGGGTGTTGGTAGCATCCGCCGACCGACAACAGGAGGCCCCAGACCGCTACCTTGCGGATGCCGCTCACCTGCATGGGCGTGCTTTCGGAGGCCAGCTCGGTGAAGCCGACGATATCGGAGAAGTAGATGGTGACCGACTGGTAAGTCTCGGCCGACACCTGCTTCCGCTGCTTCAGCTGCTGCGCCACCGTTGGAGGCAGCATCTGGTACAGCAGCATGTCCGACCGTTTCTTCTCGTATCGCAGCTCGTAGGTCTTATACTGGAGCGTTTCAGTGAAGGCCTGCGTGGTGCAATGATCCACATTCATGGCTTGTTGGCGTATCAAAATTATGAAGTTCACCCGAGGGTGGTAAAGATGCTAACGCTGCCATCGCCACGAAGCATTCAGAAAAGATACCGACTCACCTGCAGGGTTCTGGTGACCTTCCTGACGAGGATGATGATGACGGGAGAGATGATGAGCACCACCACTAGTAGCACGATCCCAATCACCACGTGACTGTTGGACGCTCGCACCTGCCAATGCCAGGCAGCTGAAGGTCGCTGACAGGTCACGGCTTACGTTGACGTTTTAGACGTGCAGCCGGCAAAGGCATCGCCAGGGCTGACAACTGAATACATAACCTTCGATTCAAAATGACAGGCCCTGCGGAATCCAGGAAAATGGATGTTCTTTTCCTGGGCTCGCGGCCGCACGTTTGTCCCTTCCCCCAACGCCAATACCGAAGCCCACCTCTTCGCCCCTGTCGGCTCTGATGACGCCGCCCGAGTTAGACGTCAGGTCCTCGGCAACACACTTCCACTATGCTCAACATAGGATCAAAAGCAGTTTTGTAAAGGTACTGTAACGTCGAAGGTTCTAATGGAAGTGTTGGCCCGTGTGCAACTGGGGGTAGGCGGGCCAAGCTCAACTGGCTACAGTTCTTCCAAAAACGCACACAATGTGTGGTCCTAATTCAGTTATTAGCAGCCGTCTTTGTCCTTGATTTGCCTCACCTCTGACAAGATGGTATGTTCAATCTTCCCTCTAATTTCGTATTGAATCTTCTGTAATGAATCTAAATAGCCCAGCATGGCATAGAAATATTCAGTGGCTTTCTCGAAGTCAGGCTCGATTTTGACGCGGGTGACAATCTCCTTCCTCCGTCGGGTGATATTGGAGTACCACGGATAATCCTGTTGCAGTAGCTGGTACCTGGTGAAAACGAAGGCACCACCACTTGAGAAAACGCGCATGGTTGCACCATCGCCCTATCACTGTCAACCCAAACACCCTTGCCGAATATGCAACCCAGCTGGTGTGAGAAGTCTGTGTAAGTAAGCTCTGTCCTTCTCTGTCTTCCTCTGTTTACGTAAGGCCGCTCAGCCTGCTGTCTGTGGTTTGCAGCAGCATTCTCATTTCGGTGGTCGGCGCTGTCTGAAGTTGAGTACACTGCACCTGTCGATACTCTACACTGTGCGTGGTAGATTACAGGTTCTGCTCGTGTTGGCGGTAATTGCTAGGCGCTGAACTTTAAAGCTTGATTATTTTATTTTCAGTCATCAGTATGTCTCATGAAACGCTTTATAGCGACTTCCTGTCGTAATTTAGAATGACAAGACATGGATTAATTACAAAATTCGTGCAATGTAAAGAAATATGCCTGAAGGTGAAACTGTTCCTGTCGTATCTGAAAAAAAGCACCTGCAGGAATTAGCGAATTGACACAAAGCGTCTCCCGTGAAGTTATTTTTCGTGGGGAAGGGCTACTTACCGATCTTTGATCCAGTACGCGAAGCTCTTGCTAGCGTTCAGAAAGTCCTGGCCGAGCGCGTCGTTGGTGACGAAGCTGAGGTAGCTGTTGTGGTCCAGGTCGCCCCTTCCGAAATATTCCTCGCCAAACACCATGCTAATCCCCAAATGTTCGATGGCACGAATCAGGTTCTTGTATGCCAGTAGAGGCCGCCAAACTCCTGGTAATTAACACGTTACAATTAGCCGGGGTGGGGAGGGTAAGGTGGTGGCAACCGCGATTCAAATTCTAATCCTTGTGGTTCGCAAACATCCATTCGTCTTGTTTAGCACCTTCGTCCTCGGTCGTGATGATCAAATGCATCACTCACTTTCCCTGACAGGAATGGTCTGCAATTGAAAGCGGCGATCGAATGCAGATCAGTCGCTATTAGAGGACAGGGCAAACGGTGCCAAGCATCGCCGGTTTCGCCGCCAAATTCTGCCCGTGGCCCGGATCTGCACGATGGGATGGAGGGGCTAGGACTGACGTAAAAAACACTGCTCATTCATTCAATAGGTTCAAACCAAATCTTTGAAATATACAACAAAATTCAGTCTGTTTCTTTGCCCTACCCTTAAAACTAGTCTTGTGGCATAATACGCTAGAAGATTGTGTTTTATTTCCTGGTATCCCTGGCTGTAGTTACCAAATGCCACTGTCATACCTTCTAGCTCCAGTTCCCTGCATTTGGGCTTCCGCGATTCGGAGGTCCGTGTCAGTGCAACGTGCTGAGAACACCTCGCTTCCAACAAAGGCATTGCGCAAGGAAATTGGTAACTCGACGAGTGACGAGTTGACCTGACCATGAGTCCGCAGCATGAACGCGCTCTGTTCCTTGCTAGGGTTTGTCAAAATTCGTCAGCAGCAAGAAGGGCGCAGGGGGCACGTGCCCCCTGTTAGACCCCGAGGGGCCCTTGGGGCCGCTCAGAGCCTAAGATTAAGGACCCGATTTGAGGGCCTCGAGATCCCGAAAGGCCAACCGGAGTTCGTATTCACTTAAGCGCTATCCTGAGGGCCTTGCGCGCTAATCAGAGACCCCTGAGTCGATAAGGGTCTATATGTCATTTAAACACCACCAATTATGCACAGGCGGCTCCGTATTGGCATGGGCCTGATTTGGACATGGCATGCATGATTTGGGCATGATTTGACATGGGCATGCCCGTATTGGCAAGTCCAATCCCAAGCTGGAACAAGGCAGCAACCAGCGACTTGCATTGTTCGGGGCCCCAACGTCTGAAAGGGGCCCACAACGCCTAGCAGGAGGGGCAGGGAAGGAGAAGGGACAACAGGGAAGGGGACGGGACCCCGAATGACAGAGGACCTCTTGCGTTGGTCGGGACCCTCTGACAATAAAAACAGGCATTGTAACATATGATGGGTGTGCACATTGAGAAAGCGGAATGACACTGTGGCAATCAGGGCCCCCAGTATCATATGACTGGCCATCCAACATAATTCTAGCGTGAGCTCATTAACCCACGCTGAATTCTGTGCGCCAATTATTGGACCACCTGCGCCTGTCAGGGATGTTGTTGCGTCAGTGAGGGTTCCTGCGTCGATCCGGTGCCAAGTCCGCAGGTCAGAGGGCCTTCCGCGCCAGGAAGGGACTAATGTGATATGATGCATCTCTCTAAGCACCTCCGGCTCGACCTGTATCGATTCGGAGGTGTCTAGGATCGCACCCCCTGTCGCCAGAATGGCGGCAGGGAGACACTCCGCGTGGAACAGAATTGCCCTTCAGCCCCTGACTGGGCACAGTAATGGGCCTCCAAATGTTCCACTCAGGAGACCCCCTTCCCAGAAAGAAGTAAAGGGCTTAATTGATGTAGAAAAGAGTATGTCGGAATGAATTTAAAGACAGACAAGATCACGCCATGTTTGCCTGAGAACGTTCACTCTTTTGCAAAATCGATTAGTAACATATATTACATCAAAGGTATGAGTCTCCGGAAAACTGAACGGCGTTGGCCATTGTAAGTAACATTACGCGCCCCACGCGTGAACGACGACTGTTGTGGTAAACAGAAGATAAGATAGATAGAAGATGTACATCTGATAGATAGATAGAACATAGTTCTGTCTGATAGATATATAGAAGATAGGACTGAGGGCATCGTGTTTACAACCTTGAAGGTGTTGTTTTCTGGAAAGATGAACAGGGAAATAGGGACTTTACCTCCACTCTTCCAGTCCCACAACCAGAATCCAGCCAGCACCACTTCGCGGTGTTATAAATGTCAATCCGTTCTAAACATCAATGTAAAAGTCGCACCAGTGAAATATACGCCCGGACTACGTTTTAAATGTACGATTCGATGCCCTGAAGCGTTCAAAGGTGCTTCTTTCAGATGCATCATCATTTTTATTCACCTGTTAGGGACGTTTTAGTGTTAGCCACAGGACCGACGCTGCGTGACATACGGAGACTGCAACGCCTAGCGTCCACGTCTTTGTTTTTAAGAGATACGAGCGTTCATGTTCGAAGCTACGAACATAATGTGTATCACAAATCGATTCTGACTGAATGTTAAACATTCAGACCAGAATATCCAGACCAACAGTGATACGTCAAGTTAATGCGAGATGTTGACTCATATCGATTTACAATCTACATTCGCGAGGTCCTAATACACCTGCAGAACCTAGATAAAAATTATGACGCAGCTTTTTAGTTCTTTCGTTTTAAAAACAGCTCACCGAATTTTTGTGAAATGCAGGGCGCAGGAGACTTGTTTCATGCAATCGTTAATCGCACGCTTCCTTCAGTTTATTAACTACAAAATTCAGAGTTTGTCTCGCGGTAGTTTTGACCTCTGTTCTAGCTACAGAAGGAACAATATTCTCCATTTACAAATGAACCCTATCTGACGATTTTTCGGGAGGGGGAGCCCTTGACTATCAGGGGTCCTCTGTCAAGCTCGTGCCTCCCCCTCTTGCCGAGGCCCTGGCTGCGCCACTGCAATGTGCACGTGAGTGGAAGACGCAACACCCTGTAAGGGCTGGCACGAGTCATGCCCTCAAACTTGCGCGTGGCCTACGGGCCATATCACAGCTAAAATGCGCATGCCCATGTGTCCGTGCATTTATTGCACGAAGATGCGATAAATGACTTGAATTGATGCCCCGGCAGTATTAGCAAATTTCACCCCTGAATTACCAGTATCGAAGACATTTTCGAGGAGCCACTCAGGTGTGTCGCAGCACGTGGCGGTAGTGGTGAGAGACATGGGAATCAGCCGAGCACATTTAACCCTCACCCTTGAGGAAGCCCCAGAGACGCATAAGGCCTTACGGAATAGCTTTCGAACGGGTTGAGAAAGTGCTGAAACTGTTGGTAGCTGAGTTAACGTCAGTTTGACACAACTTACAAACTGTGTTTCTGGTTTGGTAGTTTATGATCTATGGCCTCTTTCCTAGGTTAGGTCAGTCGCATATTGCTTAAAAGTGAAAAATTGCTCATTCGCCGCTGGAAATGTAAATCTAAAGGATTTTCAGGCTTCTACCATCACCCATGTCACTCTGAGGTGCAATAGCACCTTCTCGTGGCTTTTGTAAGACAAGGGTATCCAAGATAGCACGAGATGAAATTTTGTCTTTGTGACCAGATTTGACCCTTTGAAGGTCACACATTTTCAACCATAAAGGCACATACCCCACAGCCTTGAACGTCTTTTAACGTTGTTTTCCTGTGTGGTGTGATTTGTTTAGTTCTTGATATAACTGACAGGATCAATGCAACAATATCATTTATCTCTCTGAGCTGATGTAAAGTTCTAGGCCATGTCCCAAAGTCGACTTTGTGACTAAGAGCATAAGCATAATTCGTTCTATAAATAGCGAGAGGGGTCTGTAAGTGCTAATCTGGGTCTTATAACCATGATTTACCTGTCAAAGGTAATATTTGATATGCTTCTATCACACTTGACCAGATTAAGTTTGACGATAGTCAGCTAACGCGGTTTTCACTTGGCTTTAACCTGTTTAGTGTTTTATATCTTATAGGGAGGGGGAGGGACACCTGAGCCCTCCCCTTCATAGGGTGAGACTTGAAAAAATCCCGTGGGAGATGATACTGGTTTTTCATAATGCCATCAGAACGAACGGAAAATACGCCAGTTATCATGTCCTGTAGGTAATATGGCAGCCACAATACGCAGCAGGAGCCTGCTGCTTTAACCATGCCCTTGCGATTGCAAAAAGGAAACGAATTTCGCCTGCCGCGGGTTATTAGAGAACATTCATTGCAATATGAATGCTACTGATAAGACCCACTGCCGTGGCCCTGTGTAGAGTTGCGTATGTGTCAAGCTCTTCCTACCACGCCATTTTCGGCCCTTACTAAAGGCTGCAGGTAACCACATGCTTTGTTCTTCTCATTCAGATTTGATAGGCATGCAATATGGACCATGAAATGCGAACTTCTCAGAAACGTCCATATTACTGCACCGTTTGCTGAAAAGGCGACTGCTGGGACTTGGCGTAGATGCCGAAGTAGAACGACATGCAGGTGCAGTATGTCGAATGCCTCCGTGTGGTATGACAATCGATCAACAATCGAATGGGGACCGAGACCGTCTCGTTGGCTCAGTTGGTTAGAGCGCCTACCCTCTGGTCCCCCCATCTCTGGTGGGCTGAGGTCGAGTTGTTTTAGGCGCTTGCTATTTGTCCTTGACTGGTGTGGTCGGTGGCCGGTGGCAGCGCCACGCTGAAGATCAGGTGGCGTCAGAGGTCAGGGCGGACCGTGCCAAACACTACGGCACCTTAAAATTTCGCCACCAAATTCTGCCGTTGAACTGCAATTGCGTGGTCGGATGGTAGGGGTCAGGTTTAAAAAAACAAGCACGCCTTTGTGTGAGCTCTGAACCAGTAAACCCACCCACCCATCCACCCACTCAAAAATATTCGGATTAAATCTTAAAAAGGTCAGCGCAAACGTCATAAGTATTCACTCCAGCGCCAGCAGACAACCCCACTCGGCCGGATGGGCTCCGGCTCCTGTCTGCCCCATCTCGTCACCCGCCACTCACCAGATGCGTCCTTCTCTTTTATCTCCCTGGTTAGCTGATCGAGAAAGATGTAGTTGGCGCGGTTGTAGAACTGAATACCGGCGTCAATGGAGGGCGTGTCGAAGCGCGTGATCTTGTCCCGGAAGTCGTCCAAACGGATCCGGAACAGGATCTTGTTCTGGAACAGCTGGTCACCGATGCGGAACTTGGGCCACTTGAGGTCGTCGATGAGCTGGTTGGTGTACTGGAAGTGTTCGGAGAGGTTGCGCCGGATCACAGAGCCGTTGGTGAAGAGGAAGAAGGCGATCTCGGCGCGCTCCGACTGCAGCGCCTCCGTCACGTTGCCCAGTCCCGTGCTGATCTGCACCTGATGACGTCACCACACTAAATACATGCACCGTTTACCAATCCGAATCATTTAGGCAAACACCAGTTTTCTAAAAGTAAATCAATTATTGGAGAGTCTGACATGCACCACACCAAATACAAACCGACATCATACTTCTCGCAGCGAGCACTGATTTGAAGGGAGTGTTCCAACTAGCCATTAGTCATCTTCATTTAGCCATTTTCAAGATAATTCGGTGCAGTTCACAGCCATGCTCTTCTTAAGACTAAAGATCAGTAGCGCAGGAAAGGGAGTGTGTGTGTGTGGGGGGGGGGGGGGGCACAAAGGGCGCGTGCCCACAACCCTTAGATTTCGAGGGCACTTCGGGCCCTCGGGACCTACGATTTAGGGAGCGAAAGATCGACTGGAGGTCAAATTCAGTGGTCCGGTCCGAAGGCAGGATACTTCAATGTCATCCAGAGGGCCATGCGCTTATCAGGGATCCCCTGAGTCAATAAGGACCTACATATTAGCCATACACCAACAATTACGCACAGTCGGCTCGGTGTGGGCATGGGACTTCGGGCCAATTCTCCTAGCAGGTACAAAGCATGAATCAACAATTTGCATTGTTCGGGGCCCCAGCGCGTGTCAAGGGCCACACAGCGCCCAACAAAAGCCCCTGTGCTGGCGAAGGGCCTGAATCGGCCAGAGGCAGTGTTCGGGGAGTTTCAAAGAGCCTAGAGGGCTCACCGTAACCGGCGACCAAGGGCTCGATTGGAGGGCTTAAGGGCACGAAGTGCTGGTCGGGTATCATTCAGGATCTTCAACCTGCAGGGACAGGCCCCCAAATGACAGCCAGAGGGCCTTTTGCGCCGATCAGGGACCCCTGTGTCGATATGGGCCTATATGTCGGTCAGGCACCACCAGTACCGCACAGCCAGCTTCTATGGTCAATATGGGCCTAAAAGCCCACTTCCCAACCATCTGCATACAAGGCCGAGGAGAGCAAATTACATTGGCTGGGCCGCTGCATCCGTCAGGGCCTGACGTGTCCAACAAAGAAAGTCTTGAGTTCATTCGGAGCCCCGAGCCGACCAAGGGCAGTGTTTGTGAGGCCCGAAGAGGGGCCCGGGCGGCACAGCGGAGCTGACAATCAAGGACTCGGATGGAGGGCATACGGGCCCGAAGGACTGGCTGTAGGTCCCATGAAAAATCGCAGCCTGTAGGGTCGTGGCCTAAAATATCAGTCAGAGGTCCGTTTACACCGTGTCAGGACACCCCGTAACAATGCAGGCCTTACACCGTGTCAGGACGACCTGTGACAGTGCGGGTCTTACACCATGTCACGACGCCCCGTAACAGTGCAGGTCTTACACCGTGTCAGGACGCCCCGTAACAGTGCGGGTCTTACACCGTGTCAGGACGCCCCGTAACAGTGCGGGTCTTACACCGTGTCAGGACGCCCCGTAACAGTGCAGGTCTTACACCGTGTCAGGACGCCCTGCGGCAATGCAGGTCTTACACCGTGTCAGAACGCCCTGTGATAATGCAGGTCTTACACCGTGTCAGGACGCCCTGAGACAATGCAGGTCTCTAGGTCCGCCAGGGACCACGAACACAGTTGGCTTCCTGTCAGCCTGAACCCTGGGGGCCCGGTGATGATGATGATGATTTGGGGTTTTAGGGCGCATCGACTGCTGTAGGTCATGCAGCGCCCATAACTATCAATTTATGCAGAGACGTCAATCAGAAAAGTGCATCAACCAGCTCAACATATAAAGCCTTGATAATCAGCCCTAGCATCATGATGAAAAGATTACTGGGAAATCTATAGCGCGAAGAAACTGGAGCACTTTACCAAACTCGACGGCGTTCGAAGAATCCCCTAAAAGGTCACATAGCGTGCGATTCTGGACGTGGTGTCCGAAAAACTGCGCTCTCGCTGCAGTAAGGTGGCGGCAAGCGACCAGTGCGTGATGCACGGTCAGCGGATCAGAGCACCGACTGCAGCATGGTCTGTCGCCAGCCAGTAGCAGGTGACGGTGCGTAGCATATGTGTGACCTAGGCGTAACCGGCAAAGGGCAACTTCGTCCATCCTATTGTTTCGAAAGCACGACTGCCATAGTCCAATACGGGGTTTCACGGACCGCAACTTGCTGGCGCTCAGCGAGTTCCAGTGGAACTGCTATCGCTTCTGCATAAACAACGACACTGCGGGGTACATGTCTTGAGCTGGTGTGGCGTTATAGGAATTCTAGTCCCCGTCGTAGCGCGCTTTGCTGCCGCGTCAGCAAGATCATTTCCGTATATCCACACGTGACTTGGGATCCAGCATAGTACGATCGTATTTCCCGCTCGATCCAGTGAGCTAAGACGCCAGTGAATGTCCTGGGCCAATGGATTAGGCGAGGAAAAGCCGTCAACAGCCAGGAGACTGCTCAAGGAGTCGGAAGGAATCAAATGCAGATTGCTGTCGTCCACTTCAATAAAACAGAGAGCTTTGCTGATGACTGTAAGCTCGGAAGTGTAGACCGACGCGTGTGAGGGCAGTGTGAATGACCGTGTGGTTGATCCGCGCACAAAAGCGCACCCTACACCTGCATCCGTCTTCGAACCATCTGTATAAGTCATCTTGTACCCGTCAAAGGAGGCCATGTGCTCTAAGGCTGCGCCTTTAAGTTCCGTCATGAGAACACGTTGCTTTTGCATGTTTGATAGAGAAACGTCCACTCTTGGCGATGCTAGCTCCCAAGGAGCAGTCTCCATGGGTTTATGTCTGATGACGCGTCGCAGGTTGAAGCCGCTCGCGTCTAAAAGTTCTCTCCTTCGTATGCAAAAGGGGGAAGTTTTTGGTGACCGTTGACGTAGGAAAAGTCTTCGTTAGCTACGCGAAAACACTGCTTTGTAGGTGGGATGATCTGGGAACTGCGCCAGCTTGCACGTGTAGCGCAGTTCCAGCATCTGCCTTCGCAATGCTAGTGGGGGCTCGTGAGCCTCCACCAGAAGACTAGCTATGGGCGATGTCCGAAAAGCCGCTGTGGCGATACGGAGTGCGGCGTGATGCATCGTGTTCAGAGTACGTTTAATCAGGTCTGATGGGCTGTCATAGATAAAACAGCCGTAGTCAAGTTTTGAACGAATCAGGGAACAATATAGGAGTAAGAGTGTCCTCCTATCAGCACCGTATGATGTACGTCCCACGCACCTTCGGATGTTAAGAGATTTTAAACATTTGTCGCGAAGATTTCTTATTTGCTTACGGTATGTTAGGCGCCGGTCAAATCGTATACCGAGCAATTTCGCGGTATTCCCATTGGCGACGCGTTGCCCATACAGCCTGATTTCCATTTCAGGACAGTGACGCCGACGACGACAGAAATGAACTGCAGTTGTCTTCGATGTAGAAAACCGGAAACCGTTAAGCACACTCCACTTCTCCAGACGTGTGACAGCCAGCTGCAGCTGTCGCTCCATCGTGCGAGTCGTCGACGAGCTACACCAAATAGCGAAGTCGTCTACGAACAGAGAACGGCTGATCCCACGTGGAAGCGTGTCCCCTATATCGTTTATCATCACTGCGAAAAGAATGACATTTAATACGCTGCCCTGAGACACACCATTGTCCTGCGGATACCTGTCGGATTGATAAGAACCGACACGCACCCGAAAGAATCTGTCAGTCAAAAAGTTTTGTAAAAACTTTCCCATGTGACCACGGATGCCACAATCGAGTAACTTCATCATAATTCCACGTCTCCATGTGGTGTCATAAGCTTTTTCTATGTCAAAAAAGATGTCGCCGGTATGGCACTCGCTACTAAATCCGGCTCGCACTGCAGTATCAAGAGTTAAGATGTGGTCAATCGTGCTCCTGTTCTTACGGAATCCGCACTGAGCATTCGTGAAAAAGTTTTGGCGTGCTAAAGTCCACGAGAGCCGCACATTCACCATTCTTTCCATGAGCTTACAAAGCGAAGATGTGAGAGTGATCGGGCGATAGTCAAGGGCGTTCGTTCCACTTTTCCCGGGCTTTAAAATAGGCACTACAATGGCCTCTCGCCAGATTGGCGGGAAGTTACCTGACTCCCATATACAGTTGAAAAGTACCAGCGACGCTCGTAGTACACG